AACAAGTTACGTGAGGAGTCCCTTTATTTTGGGTACCACCAATAAATAGCTAGAAACCCGCCTACGGAACAAAACAAGCAACAATTTTCCGTCAGCAACATCACATTTAGCCTCACAAATATCAGAATGCCGTGGGATAGAATTAATTAAACGTGTAACATCTTTACAAAAATACCATAAAATTGACTTTAAAAATCCTGTTTTTACTGTCTTAAAATCGCTTTTTGTGACTTTAATACACGATTCCTTATAAATTATATCCAGGGTTGATGACATCGTACCCACATCTGCCATAAGATTAGTAAATAGTACGGGAGAACGGCATGCATATACACTTCTCGGATCTTGAACCATGCCTTAAAGCGTCCGTCCAAAAAAAGAGCCTTAAGTTTTATTCATTTTTTAAGGTGTGCTTAAGACATAATTACATGCAGTGATATTTGTCTGAAAGCCCCACTCCTAACGTGACGTTTAATTTCAACCGTGCACGTTACACGGAGACGTCTGTAATTTGGCACCGCTGGCGATGATGTTATAACGTAATACCTCCCCGTTCCTCGCAACGCGTGAATACTGATCTGACACACTTCCGAATAGCGTTATAAATTAATGATGAGGGTCACAGGAGCGCTGCATTTCCCTGAGCTGTTTTGTAGAGCGGGGAAGGGGCCGTCTGAAGGGGGTTGCAGGATGGGGATAACATTGTATCCAGTTGCTCTTTGCCGGGATAGGTTAGGGTTTGGATCAGGCACGGTTCTGGATAGTCTCCACGTTTTCAAGAACGTAGATTTGCATCAGGTACGGTTCTGGATAAGGGTGGACTATCCAGAACCAAGAGAGGTTGCAGAATGGGGTGCATATTGTATCCAGAACCGTGCTTATCTAGTTCTATGCCGGGATAGGTTAGGGTTAGGATCAGGCAAAATTCTGGATAGTCTCCGCGTATGCCGTACATAGTTTTGCATCAAGTACGGTTCTGGATAAGATGGCCTATCCAGAACCGTGCCTGAGCTTGATTCTGGATAAAGCACGATTCTGGATACAACAGGGGGCACGCTTATGACACTCTAGGGCGGGCAATTTTTTTTCATTAATTAGTAAAAGACAAATGAAAATGGGGCGACTTCTAATTATTTCCCTTGCGGGAGCCAATTTAAATCTGTCGACTGCAAAATTACATTCAATCGCATTTTGCTTGCGACACACCAGAAAACAAAGGCTGTTATAAAAAGTCTTTGTTCGGGATTCTGTATCTGACGGAAAATATATCACTGTACTACTGCGGTGTAATTAAGCACGGGTGCTAATGTAATGGCGACCTTTGGACAGTAAGCAACCATCGACGCACATCCATCACAACCAACAAATGGGGAAAGGTCATCCGATGCCTCTGTGCCCGGGGACGGCACGGCGTCATTCTGTGTCTCTTATTGATTGGGAGGGAATTCGATTATTCTGGAACTTCAATGGCATCCAATGAGGTGCGAATGTGTGTGTGTGTGTGTGTGTGGACGTGATGCATGGGCGTTGTCAAGTGTAGGAGAGGGAGAGAGAATTGCAGCTGCGTCATCGTTGATAAAGGGAGGTGCAGGATCGGAGGTGGAGCCCGGGTGCCGTCCGATCGGACCACCGATAGACGGCCTGGGTGCCATCCGATTTGGACCGCGGCTCCTTGCATTTGCTCGCCCGAACAAAAAATATAAAGCGGAAAGTATCCAGGCGATTTTTTTCGGCAAGGAGCCCCGTGTTACAAGTCGGATAGCACCCAGCAGGCTATCGGTGGTGTGACTGTTTCGGCCACACCAAGTAAATTTTATGGATGACGTCCGCGCGCGCATTGATTTTGGCCTGTTCCTTGAAAAAAAAACAAGAAATTCCGCTTCCTGTAACTATGACCAAAGAGTCACGACAGTGCCGCAAATCGTCAGATTGACGTGAAACCCGTAACGGGACACAGGACAGGATGACAACTGCTGTTCCACCTGATTTATTGCTGTTTTGATGATGAATAAAAGACTTCTTGCTTGTTACACTGTGTCACCTCATTCAATATGTGTCCTAACATTTGTCATCTCTTAGTATTTTCTAATCTAGGCATCTTGTTTTTTAGGGCCCTTCTTGTTTTTTTTTCGCCCTTTCGCATTAGATTTAGGGTCTCCAAAGGACGTCATCCATAAAATTTACTTGGTGTGGCCTTACAAAGATGGCCTCTTCGATGAGTGTAGCGTTTTTAGTTTTGTAGAACGATTTGACACGTCAGTAGAAGAGCAAAAACTTCGCATATATGCCAGAGGAGTATGTCGTAGACCTCAGCTGCTATATGTGGCTGTTAGTACGCTTATGATCGGACTGAATCAGATCGTAGATAGAAGGATTGATAAATTGGTTGATTCATCGGTGTGACAAATAAGGAAATCACATGTACATTGTCCGTTATGGATGGATGAGTTTTGTTTTGAAGAGATCTACATGTAGACCCCAGTGGTTTGTCACGACGGTCCGAAAAAGTCCTTAGTTAGATCCCATTGCATGTGATTGTTCTTGGAGATTATCTTGAAAGAAATATAAGGATTAGGAATAAACACTACCGGGTAACTTTCATACAAGACAGAGATTCTACACCTTGTAAAGTTCAGAAAGACTGCGAATTTTATGTTACGTTATGTCAATGATACAATCCGCCGATATATGCTTGTCTTTTTTTCCAACTACTCACTGCATGAAATTCTATCTTTAAGCACAGCACCTTTTCTTTTCTTCATTCGTGTCGAAAATGGAATCTTTATTGACGCTTTTAAGGTATGCTTAAAGATAATGTTTTGAGCAGTGTCTGTTGTCGAGCTAGTCTCGTGAAGAACATTATGACTCACATTGTCTGTGTAATGTCAGCGCAATTATAGCCGTCACTTGTGACTAACGATATTGTAAGAAAAGGAAACGGTGTCGGCAGTATCTCCGGTCATACTGCAGGTCTTCCGGCGATTAACCTAGTTCACGTCCCGGATTTTTTTTTACTCTCTCCGGGGAGTAACTATAGCCTGGAATATGTTTCGTAGCTGCTTTTTTTCACAAATTGATATAAGACAAAAACAAGAACAATGTGGCGTTACACTCATGTAACACACTTATTTTACAACGCCACATACAACATTACAAACCATGTTGGAGATTTGTATAGTATAGTTGTAATTGACTAGTAACTACTAGTAATACGTACGACAAACATATATATATATAATGAGCAAGAAATGGATTGTTGTGACGTCTATATCTATTTGACGGACAGATACATAAGTCAAATAGAGCTAGACGCGTTTAGAGCCTTCGACGTATGGTTTTAAACGATCTTAAAATTGTCATCATAATTGACGGAGATTCTCATGTTTTGTAGCTGTTTCAATCACCTTTTGGCATGGCAGATAATTGAATACCTCTTATAAGCTTACTGGAAGACCAGTCACAAGTATATCACCTTAGCAGTTAAACGAACTAGGCTGTGTTGTATAGATAAAACTCGGTACTTTTCAGTAGAACGAGAATAGTTATTAGCGTCAATTGGAGATAGTTTTCTCTTGTGTTTTGTAGCGATGATGAAAACTGCGTCCGTATATACTGGGTTTCATCATATTGCGTTGTTACACATTTTTCGCAAGTGTAACAGTGTGGGGGGGGGGTATAGGTGCTACCAACTGACTCGGCCGAGTTGTTAGAGCGTCGTATTTTGAAGCTGGTGCTCGGGAGGTCGTGGGTTCGAACTCCGGCCCGGGACCAGTTTTTTTTGTACCTGTTTCGCTCCTCCTGTTTCTTACACAGGTACTACTTTCGTTTACTGTGTAGTATTTTCCAACAGTGTGTTAGGCCCATATGTCTCATATGTTCAGATTATACACCTACAAATGTGTTTACAGGCAAGAAAAAGTTAAAATTGTACATAGTAGTTTAACCGGCAGGTAGTAGTACACATCAGTATGTATAGTGTGGTATATCTCAATGAGATATCTCCTTGCTTTACACATACATGACCTGTACTTAGCTTGTAAGAGCATATATGTACAATAAATGTCTTTCACTCGTTCATCAACACTGAGGTATTCTGTACTGAGAATTACTTAGCTATTATGAGCACCATTCATGTAAAAGAAAGAAAAAAGTAACGTAAAAGCTGGTGTTTGATGGGGCCCTAATCCCTCCATGTCGTGTGTTTATTGTGTAACGAGATTCACACACACGCGAGCTGCATGTATTACCAACACTTTGAATACCGCCATTATCTTTTACATTAAGCCTCCGACCACGCTCCAGGCGCCCACAATTGCAGACGATGACAGCTGCTACCATCTGATTAAAGTAAATCAAAGCCAGATACGACAGGGTATGAATAATAGATAAGTCATAAATACTGTAACAAGCTCGCTTAGAGATATATGTATAGTAGTCTCCACCAGACTAAACAACGCGGCTTCGAAAATAGTCAAATTTAGCCAAATATCAAAAGGGAAGAATAATTTGTTAGGGGAGTTTTTCCATCGTATGCGTAAAGTTCGTGTGAAAATTATAAGTATGCAACGCAATTTTAGGGTCGTAAAACGAAAAATATTTTGGATGAGGACTTTGTATGATATTGACATTTACTGCCATTTCGTAGCACATTTTCGTCATCATTTCATACTTGAAGCATTTGAAACAGCCCCACTGAAACAAGCTAAATGTCATTGAGCAGTCTCTTTATTTTTTGGGTACCACCCAGAAATTGCCTCACTGATATCAGCATGCAATGGCATTGATCCAACTTACTACATTAAAAATATCGACCAGGAAATTGACTGTGAAAATACAGTTTTGCCACCCAGAAATTGCATTGGATACCTTCAAAATTCAACCTTCCAGCGGACTGACTCTCCTGGCAAATTATCTTAGAATTCTACGATCTGTACCCCCGTAGGAAGGCCTGGTAGAGGCTAACGTACTAGAGAGATGTATATAAGGGAGTGTATGTGTACCTCGTCTGTGACTTCGTCGCATCGCTTCTGGATGGCGGCGGTCTCGTCCGCTTCGGACATGGGCCCGTTGGCGGCGGCTGGGTCTGCTGGGTCCGACATGGTGCCTACTGTAGACGGTCAGAACGTACCGGAGTGGGGGCTTGTAACGGTAGACCTTACGGTGTGTGTACGTATATATCCTTTTCACCGGGCGGTAGGCTGGATGATATAATCCCGCTCACACAGTCCTGTTACGTCCGTCGGGAAATACAGCGACTACTGCGCATGGGAATAGAGACAAAGGTTCCGTCAAATTGGCTCAACAAATAAAAAGCTGGTCTACTTTTCCCAGTAAAATACTCCATCGGAAATTCGTGCTCAAAACATGTCAAAATCTAAAACATTATTTTTCTGCAAAAGAATAGAGCTTTGGAACAATCTCGTTAAATTAAAGATTGCCCAGAAAATTGAAATCACGCAACATAGGGGGGCCGTAATCATACTACAAATGCAATTCGAAAACATTAAATTTGCTCCGCGTCAAATCAATAAGAGAAATCCAGAAGATGCCCACGGGCACAGATTGAAAATCAGGCCAATGTGCCGTCAGTCATGCCGGCCAGGCGGCCAGTAGAGGTAATGAATCAGGGGTTCGATAATGCTTTGTTGACCACACCTCAAATCGCCGGCCCGCTCTGGTATGTATGCGGCGCTGGCAAGGGCATTGCGCACAGGGGAAAGGTGTCCAATATATACCGTTGCCATCTTCTATCTTTTCATCACCACAAACTAATGTTCTCACAAATCAAATGATCAAAAACTTATCTATATTGTTTACTCTTTAGAAATAACCTTAGGATAATGCATTTGAATAATATGAGAGCAAAGTGTGAGCTTGTGCGATGGAATGTGTCGAAGTAAAACACATCCCCCACACACTGCGTCACATTTTCAGTAAGGCTAGAGGATATAACCAACGGCCTAGCCGTGAGTAGGATGTTCCTTCCTTGTTGGCAAAGATTGAACGATTTTTTAAGAAATCGACACACAACAATCAATCGATGCGAGAGGAAATTGACAAGTTGATGCGACAGTATACACGCCGGGCAACATGACGTTCCACCTGCCTCCCTTTTCGCGGTTCCCATGCAGCTCTTCACTGATTTCATAACGAGAAGACAGAAATTCGCACCATCGACAAAAAAGTACATCGAAAATGAAGCAAATGAAAGAAATCCTGAACGATTGCGCGAAAAAATATTGCTTACCTGCGGAGTGGTGTGAAGATGGTGGAATATTTGCCGCATCAGCCCTTCGTACGGGGCAGTTCTGCTGCAGGTACTGCAATTCAAGATGGCGCCCCCGGTGACGTCACCAGGCCACATGGGACGGATTGAATGACGGCAGTAGAGGTGGTGTTATTGCGGGTACAGTACAGCCGGGGGCCCGCCGGGGAGCGCGCACAGCCAGATTAACTTGTACTTGACTGTCTGGTGTTTGTAAACAATCATTGGTGATGATTTTTTAGCAACTACACATGTATTTAAACGAGCTCTTTCGAGCAGGTTGTCTTGCCACTAGGAGCTTTGAGAGGAGTTCCACTTCCGACCGTTTGATTGGACGGAAACTACTTGTTATCAACCCAGGTGATAAGTGTTGATAATTATTGGCGGCGATGGCACACGGTTCTTGCGGGAAGCCATTTTGCAGCCCTTTTTCATGTCGGTGAAATAATGTCACGGGGTCTATCGGGTTAGGGGATGATTTGGAGGAATAACAGTCGGTAGATATTATATATTATTAGATGTAACAGAATTTGGAACGCCTTTCCTGGCCATTGAGGATCGCAAATGTAAGAATTAATCTGCGTTAACAAAATAAAGGCGTCTAATACCTATTTTTTTCACTAACTGCTGTCTACTAATTGTCACATTAATGAAGAAATGGTTAGTCTTCCACGATTCTCTGACGATATACGTATGTTTTGATCGAGTCGTCAGATTCAAACGCATTTTTACTACCATATTGTGTAATGAAATATTGAGTACCTCGTCAACTTTCCAGCTGAATGGGCATATTGGTGCAAGGCTAGAAATATCATCTGCATTTTGCCGGTTAGTGCAGGTAACATTGGAGCTGTGCAGGTATTTCTGATGTCTACCTGCACCTAACCTGCACTGGTCCATGTACTGGGAATATGCAGGTTAGTGCAGGTAAAATTGGAGCTGTGCAGGTATTTCTAATGTCTACCTGCACCTAACCTGCACTGGTCCATGTACTGGGTATATGCAGGTTATTGCAGGTAAAATTGGAGCTGTGCAGGTATTTCTGATGTCTACCTGCACCTAACCTGCACTGGTCATTACATGTAGGTGTACAGTACTGTATGTGGATTATTGGCTGTATATATATATATATATATATATATATATATATATATATATACGTATTGGATACTATGAAGTGTATAAGAAATCATGGCAATGGTTTCTGAGCAGTTTATCATGATCCACACTTCCTAAATTTTGAGTGGTGCTGGTAAAATTTGTCTGGTGCAGGTAATTTTCACTGTTACATCAGTACAGGTATGCAGAAAAAGAATGTCAAGCTCAGGGGTGTAATAGGGTCATATTCAGTAAAGGCATTTCTTCTTTCGGCTACATCAAGACACACATGCATCTTTCGCTGCTCAAAATCCGATCTTTATAAAGCATATAAACACTTTAAAATACGCGTAAATGTTCCATTTTCCACTCGAATGAAGAAACAGGACATGTTTGAAGGTGCGATGAAAGAATCAGTGTTTCATTTTTCGATCTGGAACACCAGGACAATCTACAGATCAGACTGTCTGGCGTCAAGGTAAATGACTAAATCTAAGCAAGTCACACCACTAGTACTGTACACGTGTCCCACTATAGGTACAATACCTACCGCTTTTTCTGCATGGACTGGCCTAGTCGATTTACTGAGTGGGACACCTCGCGTCTTCCACTGCTTCCAAAATTTTAAAAGAGAAGCCAAACCCCCCAAAATGCTTAGTTTGTGAATAACTTGTTCTACTTGTCACCATTGTTAACTTGCACTGCCGGTGTACTCTTTCTATCATTGTTTCATGTTGCAAGTAGCCCTCGGACATGAACTTGGAAATAAAAACAAAAGGGTACTACGAACAGACAGTGAAACGAGTACACAGAGAAAGTCTTTTTCAAATTCAATGGAATAATCAGAAGATTCCTCCCCATGCATGTAATCCATAACTTATCATCATAAAACTAACTGGAGAGCACTTTCCAAGGAAGTGGAATATGAACCTGGCACTCTAGCCGTGCACACAGAAAGGACCGGTCTTGGTAGCAAGAAACACTAAGGAAGGTCTGACTGAGTCGCATGTTATACCACAGATTACCTGTATCGAATGCGTGTACATTGTTTGACATTGGGCATCATTGGGACTGGTTGACTCCGTTTTGATACATATCTGAAGATGATGGCGACAAACATAACGAATGGCAACATCTAGCTGAAATACCAATGAATCACGTAGAAGCGTCGCGTACTATAAAATTCATTCATATTTCTGAGAAGCCGGCTAATCTTATATTGGGTTGAATTTACATCCTAATCACCAAGAGAGGAGACCCCGGTTCTTTTATCACTGATGATAAAAGTCTTTTTACGATTGGATCTTTCGTCTTTCCACTGATGTATAAACGTGTTTGGTTCCCAGTCCTCTTATCTGATTATGTTCATTGGGAAGTGTGGGCGTATAGAGGAGGCTGTTTCCCCCCAAAGGTATGTGCTCCAGCTTTGAAGTTTCTCTTTCAAGAGGGAAGAAAGACATCTTCGTGGCACCATCTTCCTTTGCATAGGTCTGATCCCTTGGGGATCTAGGTACAGTCGGTTGTTTTGTAGCTAGTCCCCCAAACAACACAAAACTGTGATGTACATTCGTCTAGATATCGAGTCGTTGTGGCATGCGGCTACGCACCTGGCATGGCAGGCCACATGTACACCAGAGTAGACCAGACCAGACCAGACCAGACTAGACCGGTTTCATCTAGCTAGAGGGTATATCACGTACGTTTTCTCACACAGTATTGATTAGTTTACCTTTTGTTTTTGATTGTCAGTGAAAATGGGATAACCATTACTGGTTTTGAGCGCCGATGTTGGCACGTAACGGATATGGCCGTTATATTATTGAAAATGAGTGATTTTATAATCTATGTATTAATGAAAAGAATAGATTTTGTCAACTACCAAAGAGATCTGAGATTTCAAGGCATTATCTTCTGCGAGGTGCTACTAAACTTTACTTATAAGCAAGAGGTCCTGAGTTCGAATCCTGTCATGTCACCGATTGTGTGCCTTTGGGAAAGGCACTTTACACGACTTTAATTCAGGTGAAAACCAAATGAGTATTGTATATTGTCCTCTGCATTGGTGACGGCATAAAAATTAAGTTGAAAAAAACTTGAGTGTGCTGTCACCGTGTCTTGTGTTAAATGTTAATTTGGAATTAAAAAAAAAACTGTTAAAAGCACACCGGGACATACTAACACATATATTGGCCAGTCTGGCACGAGATAGTACAGGAAGTATGAGCGGTACTCATGGCCAAAATCCCCGCTTGCGGCCCATTCAGCCACCTGTAGATACAGGTTGTGACGCAGTTAGCCTGCTGTGAGTGCTGTTGAAATTCTGCTCACACAGAGTAGAGTACGTGCCATACTGAGGAAGTTCCCTCGTTGCGCATACGACCGAGTAGTTCACACGCCTCATACAGTCTCCATATACGTACAGCAGATTGCAATTTTGAGCGGAGCACGTAAATCTGGGCATGATACGATGCCAGTCTGACCGTGCCTACGCCGGGGTGCGCCCACGCTGGGCTGATTGTAATCTGTTCCGCCGTTGACCTGACACAGCTGTCCCCAATTTTTCGTCTGAATTGTCGCCATAATGTCGTAAACGTAGTCGTTACTCAAGCAGTGCGCTGGCTCGCCTCCAACTCTTTAACGTTATGTGAGGTTTGCAAAATCAAAAGGTCCCACATAAGAAAATCAACCCATGACACCTCGACATAATTACATGCGAAAATGCTGTTTTTGAATCGTTTTAAATACAATTTCAGGGCGGCAAAACTGGAAATATTCTGAACATGCTAATTTGTTTGATATTGACACATGCTGCCTCACATTACAGCACGTTTGCTCCAGTATTTCATACTTTAAACAAACAGCACAGAAACAAGCCCCAAGAATTTTTAGTCCTTATGTATCAGCCGAGGAGCCTATCAGTAAGTTTCACCACTCTACAACATCGCATTTTTGCTCCATGAATGGCAATGAATTAATGGTCAAGTGTTGTTTCAACTTACTGTATTATATATGTAGATAAGTGACTGCAATGTTGACTTTCAAGCTAAGCCTTGAAAAATGCATTGGAAACCTTTGAATTAATAAGTTTTGATGATAGTCTCAAACCAGGGGCATCAAGTTAGCAGGAATAGCTAACTTTCAGTGCAATCGTGGGTCGACATCTTTGACCTGATACCAGGCGTCGGTGTAAACTGGTGCACGCTGGTTTAAGCTGGTTTGTGTCTCGCCTTTTGGTATCTGAGAACATAATGTTACGTCACACGGAGGCTTTCTCTCTTCTGAGTCGACTACCGCAGCTTGTAATGTCGAAGCACTTTCGTATGCACTATATTCGCAATGCAGTGATTATCACATCTAAATATGTACGCTCGTATACGTAGCCGGATCTGCTCATTTTATCCATTGAGGGAGCATCACATGAAACTCTACCTATAAGCACACCTTGAAGTATATGCGAAAAGGTTCTATTTCTTCATTTGAGTGGGGAAAATGGAACCGCAATTCTACTAGAATGAAAGAAGACATACATGTATAATAACATGTGTATCACGCATATCATAATAAGTTTGGGACATCCAATTAAAAAAATTGATATTTATCTGAGAAAGCCGAGGAAATCCGTTCAGCCCCAGGGGCGGATATAGAAGAGCGTGGGTGGAAGAATCTAATTTCTAGGAATCCATCCTGTAAGCTCTGCGGCAGTCTCCGTACCAAAAGGTCAGGGATACAGTAATATCGTTTAATGACGAGGGTGTCACTCAGATTACAAATTAAGACAATCGGAGGAATTAAAAATCAAAGGGATTAGTGACTTTATCATAAGCGTGTAGGATGAATTAGTGTATAGGGTGGCATCACCCTTGACAGAAAAGTGCAAGAACTGTCAAATTACTAGTAGATAAAACTGGAAGAAACAAAAAAAGGTTTACACCTCCGAGAAGTATTCAGAACTGTTGTGAATATCTTCTATATTTTCTTCATTATTTTGTACCCCTACCGTGCCATTCACTTCATCCCAGACTGCGGAAGACCATTTTGACCTCCAATTCGACCTTCCTGTCAGTCTGTGGTTACATCATTTTCGCTCCTCGCTTCCTGTGACTCTACGGCATTCGAATAACTTCCTCCTGTACTTGTTCAGATGTAATAAATACAAACGCAAAAGAACAAACAAACAAACAAACAAAAACAAACAAACACAAACACACCGAAAGCCAAACCCCCGTACACAAAATCAAGTAGGCACATTCCATGTGTTGGCACCAGCCCAGCTAGGGATCACGGTGTTTTGAAGCCGTGCAGTTGATGTCACATCACACCAGGCGATCAATAGATTCCGGGACATGTACAATTTATCTGACGGTCTTCTGATTCACGTTAGTACCATTAACGAACCTGACAAATCCGAGCCCTCGCGCCGTGTCCGCTTATCTTTTCCGTCATCAATAAAAGGCGACGAGCTTGATGTAAATCACTTCCGTACGCAAGCTTTTGCACCTGCATAATTGTATAGAATAGAGACATCAATTCTGACTACGACTTACCATTTGTCACTCTTTATTATTAATAGCCTACGCAGGAATAACGTAAAAAAACAAGACCACAGTTGGTTATAATTAGGACCATCGGGTGGGGGATCTAGACATACCATCCAGCAATTCAGTGTGGTAGTTATGTTTTTTTTTTCATTTTTCATATTATTCATATCAGTACTGTCTTCCTTACACTTGGCGTTGAGTGACGTGGTACTACACAATGTGAAGATGCCGCCATTTTGTCCGTTGTTCTTTTGTACACCTTCCATCGTCATCACCGTTAAGTTTCTGGAAAGATGGAAAGTCCCTATCCGCGCCCCTCACCCATTAGTTTGCGGTCTCCATAAAGCATCAGTCTAATGTCTCACATATTTACGGGGGCGACAAACTGCCCCATTCAACCATATACCTATAAAACCGAGTAATGCTGGGTGGAGAATCGGGTTGAAGTAAAGTTGGTTGAGCGTTGAGGAAAAAAAATCAGCAACATTTCCCCCAAATATCCTTTCATTCCTCGCGCGTATTTTCTGTGGCAGGTGGTATTGTATCTCGATGATAGTATGACATTTTCTCTTCGCGCCAGCGTACATCTAGATCTATTCGTAACACCACGCTTAGACGTCTTCGTGAAACAGTCCATCTACACTAGTCCCAGCGGAGGTCTACAGTTATGGCTTTGTTTTTCTTCGGTCGACGCGAGTCCGCAAACCTTAAACCCCATGCAATACCTCACAGTACTGGCGGTTGAAAGTCTATTAGAAATTCCGTACGTGACATCTGGACTATCTGTAATTCCAGACACCCTCGTTTGGACCAGTTCCAATATCTACACGTTCGTATTCACCATTGTTTTTGGGTCCCAGAAGGCGCCTTAGATTAAGACCTGGGATTACGCTATATACTCCTCTGCATAACGAGTTAATTCTTCGGGGGTGCGCTACTGTGCCTCGTGTTTCTAAATTACCAAAGAAGTGTGCGTTTTATATAGAAGCGCGGTGGGCGTAACATTGTGATGGCGATGCGCGCTATGGAAAGATATAGCCTGGTAGGCAGACCTTGGTAGACTCGCCGGTATCTCTCTACGGTACTGAAAGCACTATCCCCCGCCCATATACATTAGCGCACGCCGGGGGGTTTTCACGGGGTCTGTTTCAATTAGTTCGCCTACGATACGAAGGGCAGTAATAGTTACCCTGGGAGCCAGACTGGATAGCGGGCTTTTACTGGAAAGCCAACTCCCCGGTAGCGCTAATTTCAATAGGCGGGCCTACTGCCTTGGGCCGCCGAAGGAATATGGCTGACGTCCCGATATCCAGCCTGGCTCCCAGGGAAGATAATGATAAGGACGTAATTTCGTTGACAATGGTATAGAAAGACCAGCTGGAATGTTCTAGCATGTCATGATGCTTTCAGTACTAATAGTAGGACCGGGACTGGTAAAACCACTATTAAAGTTGAACTGAGGGGGCGGCGGTATAACTTCTTTGGCGGCATGTTGGCCCTGGAGCCAAGAAATCGGCCTGTGTAGGCCCTGGAAACTGTCTGGGACACATGCTAGCCTGTAGAGTCGGTAACCAGGCTAGGCTACACACAGCCATTCAACTATTATACGGTAAGGTTTATGACTTCTCTATTGGATTCTCCTGGGCTTTTCGTTCACATATGGATAGTCGACAGATAAACAATATTATTATAGACTGTCGCTCAGGCTACATTGAATAAGGCCTGCACCGATCAATATAACGTTATCCGAGAATTAATAATAGCGCATTAACACGTTGTAAATGGTATTGATGGCTTTCGTTGCATAGATTTTGGGGGGGGGGTGCTTGGTCCTGTAGAATAAGATACCAATTTGGTGTTCTTGTCATTGACAAAGGTAATGGTTTGCAATGCAAATGTAGGAAAGGCAAAATCTGTATATCGCGGAAAATTCACACGATTATCCAAGAAAAAACACAAGCAGACTGACGCTGAAAAGTTACTTGTAATTGTGATTGTTAACAGCAACAAACCGTCTTGTCATGTCATAAATGCTAGTACATGGACGGCGGACGCTTGGATTGCACAGAAATATAGTTTGTGTACGGCCTGGTATACAGAGACTGTGAACCCGGAAGTGGAGAACTTGTTGTTGAGTTTTCCCGCGTTTTTTTGCCGGGGGTCAACCGGAAGTGACCTTAGGTGGCGCCAGCTACGAAACCTGCAGAGCAGGGCCAGGGTTGGTGGTGGTTTTCTGTGCGGTGTTGACGTGCTTTTTATGATCCTGGTTGCGTTTTCGGCGAGAATTTATGTCAAACCTGTATTTTAGACGACAAAGGCGCTGAAAGAGTCCCGCTACGGGAGCCTGTGTGGGAGAAAAACGAGTGGAAAAGCCTTCGTCAAGTCAAAACTACAGTTCCGGACTGGCCCGACAAAAATGGCCGAACTGACTCCCTTCGTAGACGGCTGGGACTTCGTGCAAACGTTAGGCGAGGGGGCCTACGGAGAGTGAGTTCTATTATATTAACTTGCCTTCTTGTAGCTTAACTTTACGTTATGTTAACTACATACTAAATTATGGGGTGAATGTTATTTGTGTGCACGTGTGTGGTTTTAAAACTTCAATTTATTTTGCATGGATTGGTTATACAACGTGAAATTATTTGCCACCTCATCATTATTTTGCCACCTCATCATTAATGTGGCAGTTGAGTTCACTAGACATAAGAAAATACAATTCATAACACGCAAATTAATGTTGTTTACTTGTATGTCTATTCACTCATTTGTTTCTTCTGGTTTAAAGGCTGTGCACCCAAAACGATTTCAGTGCAGTAAAACAGGATTTCAAATTCATTATTGTTATTATTTATTATGTCATATGTGAACCAAGACGACCATATGGTGTCCTTAAACATTGTTGATCTTGCTGTAAAGCACTCATAACTAGAATAAAAAGTTGTTTTCAAAAAGGAAGTGACTATTTACAAACTGTCTCTACAGTGTTAGCCTCCTGTGCAGACTTTTCACTGATTTCAGTGCACAGTGTTTATTTGGTGCAATAAAAGAAGGAAAATGAATAATAATGTCCTTCGCAGTGGGTCAAGACAGCCCTTCCTCTGTATCGGTATATAGCTGGTATAACTGCCCTTCGGCCTAACACACCTCTGGTACCCCCCCCCCCCCCCAAGAAAAAAATTAACTCCCAGTCCCACATGGTCTAGCCACACTCGTACAAACAAACATATACGATGCAATTTGCCCGCTAGAAAGTCTGCACAGGAGGCTAGGAAGCTAGTGTAAACTTGTGACTTGTCCGTTGTCAGGGTGAAACTGGCTGTAAACAGAGTGACTGAGGAGGCAGTGGCTGTCAAGATCCTGGACGGACACAAGGCCAACGGGGCATCAGAAAATATCAGAAAAGAGGTTTGTTTATATGTTTATTTACCTCAGGTCCATATCTATGTACAAAAACATGTAAGATACACTTAACAACAACCGAACCATTGAAGTTCCTACATGTCTAAGCTATAAACTAGCTTGTCGTAATGCCACAAGAAAGTAATCTCTAAGCAAATCTTTTGGTGGCTTCAAGACAGCATGACATTGGCTTGATAGTGTTAAACTATCAAATAGGCAAGACAGTATCCAACATACCACCAAAGCTGGCACTGATATACCAGTAGTGTGATAGGAATGCTTAAAAACACTTTACACCCAGGTGGAGTGAGGAAAGTTGTGTTACTGGTGGTAAGTGCCTTTCCCAAGGACAAAACGTCTTGCCAGGAATGTCAGGAATTAAATCCATGACCATTACTACTAATTATGTGTATGCATACTAGTACTCAGGGCTTGAAATACTGGGTGCATATGCATCTTAGTTCAGGTAAAATTGGAGCTGAGAAGGCATTTCTGATGTCTACCTGCACTGGCCCATCATGTACCAGTAGTACTTTCATGTATATACTTGCAGGTGTATGTAAATCATTATTTGCTGCATTTACTGTTACCACCTATGATCTATACGTGAAATAATTGCAATGGTCTCTGAACAGTTTTTAATATGATCCGTACTTCCTAAATTCTTAATGTTGCAGGTAAAATTTGTCTGGTGCAGGTAGTTTTCAGTGATACCGTCACCAGTGCAGGTATGCAGAAAAATGTCGAGCCCTGATACTGTACTCTATGTGCATGTGTATGCTATGCATACTGTATGTACGTACATGTATTTTATTAGATACTGGTCAGGATAAGTGATGACTACATTGTAACTTTCATCCCCCCACAGTTATGTATACACAAGATGATGAACAACAGTCACATCATCCGCTTCTATGGGCATCGGAAGGACGGCACTCTCAACTACCTCTTCTTGGAATACGCCAGTGGGGGAGAGCTGTTTGACAGAATAGGTTGGTTTGTTTTATCTCCTGAATACAACATTTCATTGTTATACTTTTCATGGAGACCAAAATACCAAAGTACATGTCAGAATGTAAAAAAAAGACAGTGTACATATCTGACAATGTAAGATAAGGAAGTCCTTCGAAGATGTCTGTTTGATATTAGAATGAGAACTCTATAAACATCTAGACAGACTTTTTTTTTACCTTCTTCCTGCTGCATAACCCTGTAAACATATAGAGAATTGGTAGCCAATTGCCTGCCTTGGTGTGTGGTGCAAGTGTTCCAAGGATCCAATTACTAGTATCTCAACACTCAACAGCCAATCAGCATGAAGAAACACTGCCTGCAATTTGACCAATCACATCACATAATTGTAGAAATGCAGAGTACCTATTGGCCCTCACTCTCCTATACCAAATATGGTCATATAAAACACTGTTCATTCAAATGTTACTAACTGTAAAAGAGTTGTGTTTTTTTCTTCAGAAAACTTAGATCATCACTTTAAACAAAATGGTGACTCTGACTAACACAACCTGTCTGTTTGCAGAACCTGATCAGGGAATGGCCCAATCTCAGGCACAGAGGTACTTCCGACAGCTGATCAATGGAGTGGTAAGTCAGATTCACTTAATAACCATCCCCTGCCAGTGTTACTGAACCTCCCCTTGTCTGTCTGACAATGTCAGTGTGACATCCCTACCGCCCTGATGATAACAGACATACATTTTGTACCTGCTGCACTGAATCAGACATGCTTCAAAGATGGTCTGCATGCCCTTTTAATGGAGGCATAATGCCAAGCAATTTTAATTCACCGTTAATCATAGCAATCAATTCAATCTTAACCATGAATCATACATGAAGCATAATTTGTTGCTTTAATTCTTCATGGCATGTTACCCAGTATTTGCTATCAAAAATTTGTTATTACATGTACATGTATTGACAAATCTTATTATAGCCGAACACCAAAAGTCACAACGGAATGTCTGATTGTGTCCCTGTTCACAACCAAGTTTTATCAATTGAGGCACCCAAATCTATCTAGTGTAGTGCATATAGAAATGCACATCAATTTACCAGTAAGCATTGCAGTTGTCCTAAATTTACTAAACAATAAAGCATTGCGGCACTCCTAATTTGCCAGGATCCCCCTCCCATGCAGACCCTTTAGATACATATAGGAGTAATTTGTATTCCACACATGTCAAAACAGCATATGTGGCATTCAGCCAACTTGGCACTTGGCACAATTTAGTCTTTCACCTTTGAAAGTTTGATATGAATTTATCACTGAAGATGAGACATTTCTTGTCAAACAATACACAGTCTGACATAAAGACTTGTGACGCAAGATGTTTTGTGATGCTACATCTGAACAATCATGCTATAAAACTGTAATTAATATTGATTATTCCAAAGTGCAATCTCAGTTTGCTTGCTTCGTATAATATTGTTCTCTATATTACTGATGGTATAAATGAAATTCCAGAAAAGGTAAACACATTATGTACTACATGTACTAGAAACCTTTTTTGTTACTTTTTTATTACACATGCATTGACAGTATTGTTAATCCTAATTAGACATAGTATATACTATAGTTGTAAAAAACGAGTTATTTCTTGCATTGTCATTTAGTGAGATGTTGGGTCACAGCCTCATTACTATGATGAATGACTTGTAACACAAGTATTAAGTGAAGTGTATCTGTACTGACATTTCCTAAAGGGCAGAGTAAGGAAGGGATGAGTTCCGCATGTGGTACTGTCTTCTCGGGCCAGTTACTTGTAAGCCGGGACGGTAATTTGGTAGGAGCTGGCACGGGGTTGACATTTCTGACAGACTGATGGACCAAATTACGCCTGACACTGTAGTTATGTTACTTTCTAACAATGTTCAAACTGTAATGTAAAATGGTACTAATGTGTGTTGACAGGAATACCTACATACCAGGGGAGTGGCACACAGAGATATAAAACCTGAAAACCTCCTGTTAGATGACAATGGTAAGTATTGTATGCTTCTATGAATATGTGATGATGATGTTAATGAAGGTACATGTAGCAGGCAAGTACTAGTAGTGTTCATGGGTTGTAAGTGAGAGGAACTTTGAATTTGTACCAAACTTAATGATTTTGCAACATTCCTAAGGTCACACCAATTCAATTTGTTGGTTTGGGGATTTTTGCACAAAATCAAAGCGAGAGGGTGAAAAAAAAAACAGGTCTAGGCATTCTGTGAAAGCCCCAAGTGCTACCATAGGAACCATGAAGTCATCATACTAGACTGTTTTTTTAGTTCAAGGTATGAATTTTGTACAGACGTCAATGCATTACTGCTCATTGGAAATTGTAACAGTCAGTCAATCCAGGGCATTATCGCTCCTATGGGGGAACCCCTCCTTTGACTTGCTCCACTCTTGTCTGTAACAACTATGAAGAATAAAAAACAACAAATTAAATCGGTATGGCCTAATGGCCATATTGTACGATGCGGTTGTCAAGTGTAGCCTCTTAGAATTCTTGGAACGTGTCGTCACACTTTGATTACTCAAACCCTTCTTTCTGTACATTTCTTCCAGACAACCTGAAGATTTCGGACTTCGGTCTGTCGACGGTGTTCCGTCACCAGGGGAAGGAGAGGAAGATGAACAAGTGCTGCGGCACGCCCCCGTACGTCGCGCCTGAGGTGATGAGGAAGGAGGACTACAGGGCAGAACCTGCCGACATCTGGTCATGTGGGATAGTCCTGGTGGCCATGATGGCAGGAGGTCAGTCAGTAGTAGTACCAGCAGTAATAGTAGTGGTAGTAGTAGTGGTAGTAGTAGTAGTAGTAGTAGTAGTAGTAGAAGTAGTAGTATGAGGTGATGAGGAAGGAGGACTACAGGGCAGAACCTGCCAACATCTGGTCATGTGGGATAGTCCTGGTGGCCATGGTGGCAGGAGGTCAGTCAGTAGCAGTAGTCCAGTAGTAGTAGTAGTAGTTGAGTAGTAGTGCCTAGTATTGGTAGTCATGGGTGGCCATGATGGCAGGAGGTCAGTCAGTAGCAGTAGTCCAGTAGTAGTAGTAGTAGTTGAGTAGTAGTGCCTAGTATTGGTAGTCATGGGTGGCCATGATGGCAGGAGGTCAGTCAGTAGCAGTAGTCCAGTAGTAGTAGTAGTAGTTGAGTAGTAGTGCCTAGTATTGGTAGTCATGATGGCAGGAGGTCAGTTGTACATGTAGTAGTAGTAGTAATAATAGTAGTAGTTGTAGTTACTGTAATAGTCAAGGCAGAACCTGCAGACATCTGGTCATGTGGGATAGTACTGGTGGCCATGATGGCAGGAGGTCAGTCAGTAGTAGTAGTTGTAGTAGCAGCAGTAATAATACATGTAGCATTATTAGTATTAGTCTTAGTATTAGAAGCAGTAGTTGTAGTAGTAGGTTGACTGATGGTCACTTCTTATGTCAATCTTTCCATGAATGTAAATTTCAACAGATCTCTACATCATAACCATATGAACATAACCATCAAACAGATCACATTTTGAAGACTACCCAGAGGCATACATGTACATAAAGAAGTCACAGATACAACTTCCAACTATAGCCAATACAGACAGCTTCAAAGTTTCAGCTATGCTGCAATTAATCTAGATAGAGTGCTATTGTAGTCATAGTTGCTTTTAAGATGTAACGTCACTGAACTGAATAAGTTTTTTTCCCACAGAGTTACCCTGGGATGAACCCACCTACACCTGTAGGGAGTATTGTGACTGGTTGGACAAGAAGTACCAGCTAACACCATGGAACAAGATAGACACTGTACCTCTAGGTAAGAACGCTGAACGAGTAAGTAGTGACATGTCAGTCTAAATTTATAACTCCGAGCTTCGCCAGCACGTTGGCAGAACGTACTGTAACTGCGGTGAAACGTGTAATATGTTGTGCATAGCACTTTGGCAGAACGTCTCTTTAAGGTTGTATCTGCATAACGGAAAAGATTCATCTCCAACAGGCAAAATTCTGAGGCAACATTGACCAAACATCCAACGAAAGCCGTGAAAAATCCGGGTTTCCCTCAGGTCACTACTGCAGAAGTGCTAGATGTAGCTCCACCCATGCCTTAAATGTTTTTATGTAATGATTACGGCCTGTTAAACAACATAACTGAAAAAAATTTTGCCCTCTTCCAAAGAAAATGCATGAAATGATCTCTGGCTATCTTTTCAATTGGATATCATACTATCTCTGGTACATTTGATTTAGTAATGGTGACTGTTATGGAATTGTGTTAAAGCTTGAAACAGAAGAAAATTGTTACTCAATCCACTGGATAGATTTTGAAATCTGTCAGATAGGTGTTTCAAGTAGCAATCACTACTTTCTTGTGAGTGACTAACAAAATCTGTAGTTGAACAGGTAGTTATCCACAAACTATGAATTGATATGTAAATGAGGTGAAGACAATTTTTTAGACAGTCCACAAGAAACAAAAACTAAGACAAGTTGCTTGAGTAACAATTTCCTTGTGTATCTCATTACCTGGATGTCTTAACTTCATTGACACACTAGTATCTAGTAAGCTTAATTTTTTTTGACAAAAATCCCACAGCACTTTTGAAAAAGATATTAGAAGACCAGCCTGGGAAGAGATGGACCATAGCACAGATTAAGAAGGACAGGTGGTACTGCAAGACTTTCTCCAAGTCAAAAGGTAAGCCTGATAAATACTGTGTCACAGAGGTCAACATCAGAGACCATCTGTGCTTACAGACTGCTGCTCATGATCTCAGTTGGAATGCCTGAGTGTGTAATGGCCATCATGTAACATTTAAGAGTACATCTATACTAGCTTACAGGGTTCGAAATCCGACCTGCATAAGTTAGTGCAGGTAAAACTGAAGCTATGCAGGTATTTTTGATGTCTACCTACATGTACATACATGAAAACATTTTATACTGAAAAGCACTACATTGTACATGGGGGGCCTTGAGAATACCTGTTACTGAAGAAAACTACATATGGGTTTTAAGAACAGTTGTTACTGAAAAGCACTATATGAGGGTTTCTAGAACAATTGTTACAAGAAGAACTGTACAGGTATCTACATGTAAAGACTACTCAAGAGTGCTTCATGGAAAAGGTTGATACTAGACAGTTCATTTTAGAAGGGGGAGGAAGGGGGGGAGGATTGAAATATGCTGTATTTGCTCCTGAGCAAATGTTGGCCTTTCTAGTTATTTACTTAAAATGCTCCATACTTTCTAAATTCTGAGTGGTGCAGTTAAAATTTGTCTTGCACACGTATGAGAAAAAAACAAGGATTTCAAGCCCTGGCTTACTAGTTCAACTTGATTGATGATGTTCTATAGTACAAAGCTTTGATCTTAAATCCCTGAGATTTACTCTCTAGAAATTAATCTGCGTGATTAAGCTAAATCCTTGACACCTGAACCCCTTCCACCGCGGGCGACGGGACCATGTTAATGAAGACAGATCCGAGCTGCCAGACTTTTCTGGGGCAGAGCCTCAGGAGTAATCATGTACTGGATGATTTGAGCGTTGAATACTGTGTGTACATAAGGCCAGACCAATTTGATATCTTGGTTAACGGATTTTTGTAGAAAAATAATGGAGCGGGCAGGCGAATAAAAAATAAAAACAGGCCTAGGCATCCTATTATGGCCTAAAATCGTACGATAGGAGCCATGAAGTCAACACACCACGCTGGTTTCAAAATTGAAACATTGAATTTTGAACTTTTAATGATACCCCTGCATTGAAAGATGGAATAACTGTAACAACTAAGAAGAAAAGGACTGTTTTCAACTGTTCAGGACAAAATATGAGCATTTTGCAGTTGATTCTGAATTTTTCTTTTTTTTTTGCAAATCAGAAAAAAAATGAAGCGGGTGAATCCGTTAACCAAGAAATTAAATTGGTGTGGCCTAATGCCTGGTCTCCAGACGGATGTCTCATTACTCTTGTGTTGGCTGCTGACAGGTCGGCTGCTGTCTGCCTCCCCCACCACCTCCCCAGCCAGTGGACCCTTCAGCAAGAGGATCTGTTCAGGCATCGACCTGTCTCCCCCCATGGCTAGGTACAACATGACCGACACCTCTCATTAACAATAGATCTGTAATAAATTATCCAAAATTCTGTGCATTGTAAGCTATGGAGTAACTTTGTTGCTTCCATGTATGGAGGGTTTGTTTTCAAGTTTGTCATTTGCCACAAAATAACCACACTAACAGGTTAGGCCAAAGGTCCAAGAAAAGGGTATTTCATTTCCTTTCTTAAATGTATGTCTGCTAACTGCTATATGTACAAATGTATGTCTGCTACCTTATGGGAGAACTGAATCAGCGAGAAATTGACAATAAGGAATACATGTAATAGCAAGAAAAACACTAAGGCTTCACCAGAGGTATGAGATTTTGACTTCGATTTTTTGTTGGAGGATGGTTTCAATTTAGAGAGCATGCCCAGTGTCAAAGTTTAAGGCCCCTGAGACGTAAACAGAAAGTTCCAAGTATTTGCATTTCTATGTTTTCATCTTGAATTACTATGTTTTTTGTCAGTGCTATGAAATCTGACAACACATTTTCCATACCTCTCTTGGTCCTTCAGCTTTGTCACTGGGCATGCACACTCTTTGCATTTGTAAACCTCCTTATTCAAAGCTCCAAATAACAATAAGTAGCAAGAAGAAAGAAGAATTAATTTTTCATTCCCCACATGTTTCACAGGTATGACTCGGCGGAGCGTTACTCCAGCTCACAGCCAGAGCTGCGGCGTGAGAACCCGTCCTCGTCTGAGCTGAGCCAGTCATCCATGGAGGAGCTGGTCCACGGTGTGAGCTTCTCCCAGCCTGCCGCGCCGGATAACCTGTTCCTGGCCAGTCAGACACAGGCCTCACAGTCATCTCAGGTCAGAGGGCATCATTTTTGTTTCTTTGAACCATCCTTGATTCAACAGGAGCCCAATCGGCTTGCAGGCTTATGGTGTTATATTACATGTACATTATGTAGCAAGTGGCCAAAGTTGGAGGGGCTGGTCACCATATATATTAGTTAGGATTATTCAGTCTTTGATTATGATATGAATGTGCTTAAATTAGGCTAGACCATGTGAAGGCAAACATTATGTGTTTGTTCTGTAAATGTAGATATTCTTTTAATTAAGGTCATGAGGGAAGAGGTAAGGGTCAGACAATAAAGATAAACTTTACATCATTTAAAGTCCAAATAAAACTATACACAGATCATAAGGCCAAGGAAAAAAATGTGTTTCCTGACCATCCTAGCAAATATATGCCTACTGACCCTAGCCTTTGGAGGAGGGGGGGGGGGGGTGACTGCTGGCAATGACATACAAATTTTACCCCGTCACATATGAATTTAAAACTTGAAACATTATTTCACACTCATTTTCATAAGCAATATTTTTTGGTAGTAAATCTGGTGAAATATTTGCCCCTTCCACAAGCAAATTGAGGGATGATAGCCTTGGTCCATCATGATGCATTTCAGTTTTACAAACTTTATTTTATTTTGTATCAACAAAAAAAGGAAAACCCTACCTACCTCCCTTTATCTTTAACTTTTTTCTTCCTCTTCAGACTCCACTGCAGCGGCTTGTGAAGAGGATGACTCGGTTTGTGACCAAGTGTGAGACAGAGAAGGCCCTGTCTGACCTCAAGGCAGTGGTTGATAAACTGGGTCTCACTTGGAAGAAAGTCCATCCTAACCAGGTACAGAAACTCTACCTATGGCATGGCATAGATTGTTATTAGTTTCCAAGCAGATCTTTTAGTGGCTACAAGATGGTATAATTGGCTTCACAGTATCGAATAAGTGGCAAGGCAGTATCCAATGTATGGATTCCACCATTTAAAAGCCTGATAAAAATGCATAAAAAGACGTAAAAAATAATTGAGCCAAAGCCTTAGCCTCTGCTTGGAGAGTATGGATTGTGACTCAGAGCCAGAAAGGGATTTCCATAGACTCTTGATTTACCAGCACCTCAGTTTTCCTTGCACTTCTAATTTGGGGGTAGGATTTCTTGGAATCCAGGTAAAACTTGTTTCCTAGCTCCATAATCAGAGTTGAGTATTTCTGAAGTTGTTCATCAATGTACAATAATCAATTTCAAAACACAAACCATCAACAACAACTTGATGTATTTCTTTAACAGCTTCAATAATTTGTGTTCCAGATTTCAGTGAGTACAACAGACAAGCGAGGGTCCCAGCTCATCTTCAAAGTGTTCCTGTATGACATGAACGGGTACAGACTAGTGGACTTCAGGCTCTCCAAGGTCAGAATCTGAACTGCTTTATCATATTTTAGTCAACTAAGGATATCATTATGATCACTTTGGCAGAAGGGAAACATTATATGATACTGTTTCTTCTTCTTTTCCTCTTCTTCCATTCCAGAGAAATAGATATTATGTATTAAACTTATTAGTAAGGACAATGACCATTCACCAACTGTTGTACTAGGTATCCAGTGATGTTATATTACATTATGTAGCAAGTGGCCAGGACAAAGTTGGAGGGGCTGGTCACCATATATATAGTAGTACACGTAGTAGCAGTAGTTCTGTACAAGTGTACATGTACAATGTAGTACGATTATGATATGAATGTTCTTATTAAGTAAGAATAAACAGAGCAGCATTTTGTTAGGCTGTGAAGGCAAACATGCGTTTGCTCTGCAAATGTTACCTTAAAGTTTACTTAAGAATCCTATTCTTACATTTTGCAAATCCAGCCCTGATACATTAGATATGTTCATGATTCCTGTTTTTCTTTGTTACAGGGAGATGGTTTGGAGTTCAAGCGTCTGTTTGTACGGATTAAGATGAAAATGTCGGCTGTCATCAGCAAAGCTCCGGCACTCCTGCCTATCAACATGCCAGATACGGCAGTGTAGAAGGCAGTTCTCACAGCACCAAAGGATAATATTGTAGCCTATTTGTTGTAGAGACTAGTTACGTTTAGGCCGCACCAATTTAATTTGTTGGTTTTCAGATTATTAAAAAAAACATGAAGCAACAGGGTGAAAAAAAATTGACATCAGACAACCAACCTCATCAATAGTACTGGCATTATACGGTAGATGCACCACTTCGTTCAAATTATTAAATAATACAAAAGTTAAACTAGATTTTGTTTCATAGTATCTTAATTGATGTGAACCAATGTTTTAGTTAACCAAAAACTTAAATAATAGCAACTAGAGTACTTTACATTTTATTTACTAAATGTCATCCAGTGAAACTTTACTGAATGGGTGCTGTGGTCTATTTCTTTCATTTTTGGAAAAATAGGAGAGGGCATTTCTGAGAACCAATTGATTAAATTGGTGTGGCCTTATATTATTAAGTAGTATTTAGATTCATTTTAGATATTATGATGTATACAAACCATAGGTATCTTCTGTAAGGCTGTGAACAATGATTTAAACTGAACTTTTCAGTTCAGTGATCGCATTCACTTGATGTCAGTGACACGACTATGCACTTAGTTATTCTCAGTTATGTCAAAGAATTACTTTTGTTGTACCTAGAGTTAGAAAAACAAACAAAAAAGAAATATATTTATCATATAGGAGAGCAATGGAAAGTAAAGGAACATTTTGTTACCTCTTTGGTGGTCTTAAGATATTCCATGAACATCCTAATATGATAGTCTCAACCAGTCTTCGTGTTGCTGGACAAATTGTAGAGATTGGTCAAATGAACTGAATAGCATACTAGAAGAGTTAGCTGACTAGAAGGCACAATTTCCAATCCACAAAGCCTGTGCATACTTGCTAACTGGATTGCAAATTGGCCCTGAATTGTATTCAGCCTATTTGGTCATTTTCTACTATTTTTTTATCAACCACGGAGCCTGGTAAAGGCTATTATACTGTATGTGTCAGTCCTTAGCAATCATGTCTTTACCTGTAACTGATAGATTCTAATGTCCATCTACATGTAGTTGCAGAATATTGTAGACACCACAGTACCAACAGTATTATAAGAGCCTTTGCAATATCATATTCAACTCTTTATTCCATATGTATTGATTCTCTTGGTGAAAATCAGGTACTACATGTATTTCAAAGCAGTACATTTAGCATATTTTGGGTCAAATAAGATATGCATGATCCATCAAGCAATTTGAGATGTACCCGTAATGCTCAATACAGACTTACATGTACCAAGTAAAACTACAATGTACACAACACTGACTACAGGTAGCTACAATGAGTAGTATGAAAGGTCACTCACTCTCAAGTTTCAGAACCCCAGTAAAAAATATGTATATTTACATGGTTTCATGCTCTTCCTTACCCTAAACTTCCCTACCTCATTCCTCCGTTCAGCAATATGAGTAAAGAGACAGCATGAGAACATTTTAAGTTTGCAGATGTGTCCTATGGCAAGATGGTGTGGGGGAGGCAATTTACATAAGGGCCCAAAAAACCTCTCTGAACCGTGACAGTGGTAGATTCCATCTTCCCGCCACTTTTGATGCAGTCCTGACATCATCACTTCCAGAGAATCTGTGAGTGGATCACACATCTAACGAAGATTGGCAAGCTCGACCAAAAATTTATGGTGAGTTCCCTTTTCTAAGCTCGTATTTTATAATTTCTAGATTGATGTTCAAATGTTTGTTGTACGACATTGCTAACAGACAATTTGGGCAATATTTTTCATCTGGCTAGAGTTGTCTTCTTGCCTTCAGAACTTTCTTTTTTGAAACTTACATTTTATGCCTTGTGACTATAAAATGTATGCTTGGCCCTGATCCGAACCCAATGTCTATGCTACTGGGATTTGTAATTATTAAATTGAATGTATATCATGTCACGTTTTTATCGTAAGAACACTATCGAGGCAGAATACCTGACACACAGCAATGTTGTACACACATGAGGGATACCTGGTCTTGTTCACCGTCAACACAGGGACATGATACCAAATATTTCCATTTGTGCATAATCTTGTCTTGATAGTAAAGGTATTAACCATCATCATTCTAAGGTTGCCATCTGGCAAAAAAAATTTGTATTGGTTCAGAAGTTAGGCAGCATGCTTCTTGAATCATGAGTTCAGGACTTTGGAACAACAATGTAAGGCTGATGGGGAACCATCTTTCCCTTCTCACTGCACTTGTACACCCACTGAGGCCTCACAAACGTCAGCTCACAGTTGTCAGACAGAGCCTGGGGAGAAATGATAAAATCATAAGATTGTGAAATATAAATGTGACACATCTCATAGAGAAAACAAGCACCAAGTAATCATGTTTATTACATATATAACTGAAAAGGTAACATTTGCAAAGCAAATTCATGTTTATATTCACATGGTCTAACCCAACATACGACTTCATTTGTTTATTCTTACTAAACACATTCATATACATGTATATGGCAACCAGCCCCTTCAACTCTGTCCTGCCACTTGCTACATAATGTAATCCAACACCACAAGTGTCTACTACACTACCAGTTACCGTGGTGTGTTGTATTCACACCTAAAGAAACAAGCACCCAGTAATCATTACAGCGTGTATAACAAAACCTAGATTTCTCCTACCTCTTCAAAGTTGTCGTCCCAGTCTTCATTAGTGATGACATGGGTCACCTTGTCACTCATGTAGTCTTCCATACTCCTGCAACATCAACATTACAACAGTTAGAATGAAAATTAGAGCACAGTACATATTACAAAACATACACTGTAGTGTACAGCCTTTTAAACAAAAACAAAATCAGTCTGGTCTCAGGTTTGACATCTTTGAAAAGGTGATAGTCACCTGTTATGTCAATCCTTCCACAAATGTGGTAAATCGTCATAAATAAATAAATAAAATCAATGCAACGTGTACTGTGCCTGGGTAAAGCCTGTAATGTATTGTGTATAGCAATTTAGTAGAACATCTCTTATAAAAGAAAAATATAAGGTTTTTATTTATTTCAGGATGACCACAACAAGTAGCATCATTCTATTCTTTTCAAATGATGTGTTGGAAAAGATATCATCTGCAACGGAAAAAATTCTGGCATCGACCAAATACTCAATACAATCCGTGAAAAATCCAGGGTTCATGCAGTACGTTCTGCCGACGCGCTTACAGCAGGACTTACCCATTGAAGGCTGATATGTATCTGAGCACTAGTCTCCTCTCCGAGGCCGGGAAATCCCCGTACAGGAAGAAGTTCTTCCCGGTAAAGAAGTCGGGGAGGTCTGGAAGTGGCAAGTCGTCGGCATCGCCCTTCCTGTGGTTCTGTTTCTGGGGACTTTTGGCGGGGCTCTTCTTTGGTGTGGTGTGCTCAGGCTCCTCATCAGTCGACCCTCCATACTGGTCTTCCTCCTCTGTCTTCTTATTCTGTTCCTGTATCCTGTAGACAAGATACAACTCAGTACTGTAATTCCTGGTTTCTTCATGATGTACATGTTATGTTCACTTCTGTACATTTGTCTTTTGCCCCCCTTCCCTCTCCTGCCACTGTGAAGATTCTGGAAACAGGTTCATTTTCCTTAGACTGTGAAATTCTGCTACTGTGAAGACCAAGTGAATTAATGTTGATAAGGTAAAGGTCTCATGCCGTTTTTGAGACCGTAGGAGCAGGGGGTTGTTGATCCACTGTGTCCAGGGCACGGTATTGGAAGGTGGAGCCCATCCCTCTCCTTCCACTGCCTTTTAGTTTACCTCCCAAACTAAAGTCAGGTACACATTTTACACCTGGGTGGAGTAAGTAAAGTCATGTAAAGTGCTTTTCCCTTGGACACATCGTCTTACCAGGAATGCTGCGAATCAAACCCATGATCTCCCAATCCCACCCCTTGCCACCTGTAAGCTTGTTCTGTCAACACTGACCCTAAATCTTTTGGCAGTTGTTTCTCTGTATTCTACATGTATGTACATACATGTAGACCCAAAAGAGGAAGACTGAACCAACTATCTACAACAGTAGTCCAGTCCCTCACCTTCTGATCTCTTCCTCTGTATCATCTCCTGAGGTATCCTCAACTTTTCTTCTCTTAGTTGCTGTAAGAAAAACAAACATTTACTCAGCCAAACAAGTACCACAAGAAGGAATGAACATATGTTCCAGTCATACTAGACTAGAATGAGTGGAATGTCGTCTCCATGAAAATTCTTTGTATATTCCTGGATATATATATATGTGAAGGGCATTCAAGAAATTCTCACTAGATTCCACATATTTTTACCCATTCTTGTGGCTAATCCAAATGTCTTGGTCATGCTTGAAACTTAATTGTAATTTATTTGCTTTATCATTGTGTATGAAACTTTTAAATTATGAAATATATAATTATAAAGAACATACGTGAGGGCCCAGCATCACTGTCCACATCTGTGCTGTCTCCGTAAGCATCATCATCATTCTTGACGGCCTTGGCAGGAGAGGCCTTCTTGGCTGGAGATGCTTTTGCAGTCACGGTGGTCTTCGATGGGCTGGCACCCTGTACAATGTAAAAGAAAAATCTGTAATGAGGAATTTAAACTAAAAAGGTAGCTTTTACAAAGCAAATACAGAATGTTTACCTTAACACAGTCTAGCCCAACAAACTACTGCTCTGTTCTTCTTCTGTTATACATATACGTGTTGACCAGCCCCTCCAACTGTCTACCACTTGCTACATAATGTGTCAGCTAGGACACCAGTTACCATGGTGATAGCCGTCTGATCCAGATCATTGACCTTTTCTTAGAAAGGAAGAAGAGGAAGAAGAAATGTAAACATAATTACTGGTGTATCTTTGACTTGCATAAAGATAATTTTGTAGAACTTCAGCCTGATGGTTTCAAGTAACACTGAGCTGGTAAAAGACAAAGTTAAAGTCTGTCCCCTACCTTGGAGCTACCGGTGGCAGCTGGCTTGGCAGGGGTGGTTCTGGGTTTGGGTTTAGGCTTGGGTGGAGGGTCATCTTCTTCCTCTTCTGAGGAAGACTCATCGTCATCCAATCTGAACCTGGACAAGTACAAGTCAGTAAGTACTATTTACTTCTGCTATCATGTTGACTGATGTGAATAAAGATTGAAGGTTAACCATCATAGATTACACTAGACAGGTAACATTTAAAAAAATACATGTTTACCTTCAATAGGGATAGTCTAGACTAACTGCTCTGTTTATTCATGATGACCAGCCCTTCTAACTCTGTCCTGCGACTTGCTACATAATGTGATTCAACACCAGGGGTGTCTGCTATAATGTAATATTACAAAATAAATGGATCAAAATTAGCCACCTTTTCCAGGACAGCAGCACGCCCTTCTTGTAGCAGCTTTTGATCCACTTGTGGCTGACAATCTTCCCTCCCTTCTTCTGCACCTGTACATACTTGGGAGTGTTCCGAAAGGCACATCTGTGATACAGAGGGATAGACATTACACAGTTAATACTGGGACCACAGTTTTAAGAGATGACACAGTATGCTGCAACCATCAACTTAATGAAATTGAATGATATAATATAATAAGAAATCTACACTACATTTAGGTTCCTCATGTTGACTCCAATGACACACATATTAAGAAGTAACTACAGGGCCCAGAATACTTTTTTTTCCTGCATTGAAAATAACCTGCACCAGACACCAGTCCAAGCAAATTCTACTTGAACTACTCACAATTTAGCCAGTATAAGATCATACTAAAACTGTTCAGAAACCATTGCCATTATATATTTTACTTTCAAATTTATACTTCATAGGTGGTAACATTCAATGTAACAAGTAGAGATCCACATACATGTACACCTACATGATAATACAAAATTTAACCCAGTGCAGGTTAGATACAGGTAGACATCATGCCAATAAAAGACCAGTACATCTCCAATTTTACACGCTCTGATTTAGAAATCATGAAAAATGGATGTTTAAATCCTTACACAAGATGTGTGCATGTAGGGTCCCAGTCAGGCTTGTACGCTGCTCCCATCTCCATAGCCTTGTCCCTCAGACTAGCTCTCTGTGGGTTGACATATCCACTCAACACAAACACCACATCCTCCATCAGAGAACCGAAATCTCTCTCCTCTTCCTCCTCCTCTTCCTGTAGCCTCCTAGGCTTGGCTGCGGCTGTTCTCTTCTGTTGTCGCCCTGCGGGAGGGGTCCTGGTGGGAGGGGCTTTACTGGCCGGCTGTTTGCTGGCAGATACGGACACGTCGGCTAAGGTGTAACATATAGGAGACTTTGAAGGCTATTGATCATTGATTATCCTGATGAAGGTGACAGTGGTTATTGACAATTTGATCTCTGTGTAACCCTTGTGTTGAAATAAAGTTCAACATTTTACTATGATTGCTACCAATGCAGATGAACTTTCATGACAAAGGAGAGTGCTAATGAATGATTGCTTTAGACAAAGTCAAAGAGGGCATGCTTTGTACACAAAGCTTCATGAAGTCTGTCAACACTATATGATATTATAAGGTCATTATCAATGGTATTACACAATAGAGAACAACACAAAGGACTTTAATACTGTAAAGTTACCATGAGACATTCGCAGTGGTCTTATTTTTGCAGTTTTTGTGAAATCATGACAGCAGGAATGTGTACTTTGTACAACAGAATTGTTTCAACTGTGAATTTTAAATTAGTATTACCCACTTTTCCCTCATGCTGCGAAATAAAATCCACCCGAAAGTACATGCATTTACAGTACAGTACTAAGAGAGGGATCATGAAGCAACGGTGAGAAGCAAATGTGAGAAGGAGGAAAAATGTAGATGTGAAACAGTCTAGAAGTAATAATGGAAAGTGACATGTACTCACACTTTGTTTTTTTCATAGGAGGTGGAGAGGCACCCTGGCTGGGTGTGGACTGGTGTTTTCTCAAGGGAGGCTTGTCATCATCATCATCATCATGAGTCAGCTTCCTCTTGGTGCTCTGAGATTGAGACATATGGATGAGAAAGACGATTCAGCAGTTTGACCAATATTATATCATTTGAGACCACACCTTTGAATACTTGTACGAAAAAAACTGAAAAATTTCTGCATGACAGACTTGAATTTTGTTTCACTTCACTGGAAAATCGAACACTTGAAACTGTTTTTTTTTAAATGCGGAGATCTTGCTAATGTGTGCCATCAAATGCCTGAGTGGCTAGGCTAGCATACACGGTATTGAGAGGTCAAGGGTTTGATCCCTTGGATCCTTGGAAAAGGCATTTTACACAATGTTCCTCACTCCACCTTTTACCTACTGACATAGTGGGAATTGACAGACATTGGTAAATGTATGACAAAATGCTGGTACCTGACTGGATGGCGATGTCACTTTTGCTGCAGGTCGGGGAGACGCGGTGGTTGCCGTGGCAACAGCAGCTGCAGACGAGGCAGCCCTTACAGCTGCTGCACCTGCATGGGCAGATAGGTGTGCTATCAGGTGGTCTGACATTACCATTCAAGCCACTAATGGTTCATTATGTAATACTGTCACAGAAAGAAAACAGTTTTTTCTCCTCTTCCATTCTGAACAAATACATGTAAGGTCGATGACCTAGACCAGATGGCTATCACCATGGTAAATGGTGCTGTAATCCTGTGGTGTTGGATTACATTATGTAGCAAGTTGTAGAACAGAGTTGGAGGGGCTGGTCACCATTTATATGAATGTGTTTGAGTAAGAACAGAGTAGTAGTTTGATATTGTGCTTTTTAAATGTTAAAAGGTGGCTTTCTAGTATTCTACATTCTATTATTCTACTTCTCATGAATTGTGGTATATCAATTAATGTCACTGCTGAATTCTCACCTGTTAGAGGTTTTTGCTCAGTCTTCCCCTTTTTAGAGAAGAAACTCCCAATGGTGACCTTGTCTTCGTCATCATCATCCTCCTTCAGAGCAAACTTTCCCAGCTTTTTAGGCTAAAAAAAAAGATAATACCAGTATCATGAAAACATTGTCAGGTATGTTCTGTGACGATAATCAGTATATGTAAATCACAGGAAAAGAAAACCCTTCACAGAGACTTTGAAAAGACAGCCCTGCATAGAAGTCCTAAGGAGTATACCCTAGCATGGAAAAAATAGAGGGATTTAACACCCCTGTCAAAAAAGTTTAAGATAACTTACCCTAGCCAGCACAAACAAGTAACCGTTTCCTGTGACATCACATTTTTGCCTCACAGATATCAGAATACTACAGGACAGGATTGATTCAACTTTCTACAAAAAATGACCAGAAAATTGACTTAAAAACCATGTTTTACCACCTTGAAATTACTTTGGGTGCCTTTAAGCTATCATACTCACTGTTGTGGTTTTCTTGGCCTGTGGAGACCCAGAGGGAGGGGAGTGGAACTTGATGAAGGACAGTCCATACTGTACATTCTGCAGTAAGAATAAAACACTGAATGTATATCATGTCCAGGACAAAAGATACAAAATCTTCTGTTGCAGTCCCAAGGACAGCTGCCAGGAGGCCCATAATCGAACTTGACCTTCATCTTCCCAAGACCTACCCACACACTAAATATCATTAGAATCCATTGAGGCATTCTTAAGTTATGCTGACCAGATAATATCCAAAAGCACACACAGACACGCAGAGACAAACACTGAGTCAGACAGACCGGAGGCACATTGTAATATAACTACTGTCTTGGAGAAATACATGTGCAACATCTCCCATCCAACCTTGTTGAAGGGCTGAGTGCAGACGATCTTGACTCGGTCCCACTTCTGGTCCTTGACAGAGCTGGACAGTTTGTCACTCCCAAACATGCGCACCCTGTGGGGGTTGTTACCCTGCTTACTCTCCGCAGGGGACATGAAGGAGGAGGCAACTAGGAGAACCTGGTAAGAATATTTAAATAGATTTAATTGTAAGATTTATATTGTAAGAAAAATACATGCGACAGAAAAAATTCTGACGCAACACTGACTAAACATCAAAAACATTGTAGTAAACATCGTTTTGTGCAGATGAAGTATGTTCTGCTGAGGTGCTAATACATGTACATGTATATCAAATAATAAAGTACATGTAGATGTTTGTACCTGGTAGTCTTGGTCTGACTGGGCTGATGCCCTCCCAACCAGGATCTCCACAAAGGCTGAGTTCTCATTTCCTATGTCAATAGAGTGGATCTGGGCTGGCTCATCAAACTGAAACAAGACAGGTGAGTGCAGTTTATTATGTTTACCTTTGAGGAAGAAAAAAAAACATGATTGTACGTTGTTGTTATTGCTCTGTTTCTTCTTCTTCCCCTTCTTCCATTCCAAACAAATACCGGTAAGATCTGGACCAGACAGATGTCACAATGGTAATGGTTGCTGCAGCAGATACCCTGTGGTGTTGGGTTACATTACGTAGCAAGTGGGAGTACAGAGTTGGAGGGGCTGGTCACATTTTTTCCATAATGATGATGATGATGATGCCTACCTGTATGATAGCAGTGACCTGTTTCTCCCCAGTTGCAGCACTTTTCCACTTCCTGTAAGTCTCTGACTTCAGCAGGTTTTCTGCTGTGTGGGTCTGTAGGATATAGAAGTGACAAAGAACATATAATTCACGTACTAGTACTGTGAAATCACTACATCTTTTTGCAGGGCAATGATTTTGCGGTAGGACTAGGAGTGGAAGAGTAGGCTTTCATAGACTAGTGTTTTATGTTACAGTAACCTAAGCAAAAGAGTCACTGTTGCATAAAGACCCTGAGAACATCAGGTCCGACCAAGTCTAACTGAAGGGATCTGTGGTAAAATTTCCTTGGGGATCTGTCGGCCTTGAAGCCGAGGAGCAAGTCTGTATACTGGCTCTGGCACCCAGGCTATGCTAGAATTAGAAAACAATTCAATTTAAATTATGCATGCTTGCTTTCATGAATAATTGCATTCACAGGCTTACAAAACAGCATAAGTTTACTCTTTTGATCGCTTACTTAAACACAATCAGTAGCGAGTCTGGGTCACCAAAGTTATGGTCGTAGATTAGGTTAGAGTTGAGTGAATACCAGGATCAGGATCCTCTAAAAATTAAATTTTCTCCCCTGGGAAGTATGATGATTCCTCTTTATCAATCAGTACATTCGTACTCACCTTGTCTTCACTACTGAAAGAAACAACTTTCTGCAGTTGTATCTCTGGCATCTTCCTTTATACCTCAGCACGGATCGGTCCCATGAAAATCAGCACAGGAAAACACACAGGCCAACAAAAAGCGATCGTGACAAAAACCTTCCTAGAACATTTCAAAATGGCGCGTATCTTAGGTTGACCTTTGGCTTTTCGTTCAGCACATTCAGAAATAGGTGGACCTTAAAAATCACACCTAATATCTATCAGTAACAGGTACATACTTGAAAATTGTTTGATATGTAGAATGTTTACAAATTCTTTGTCTATATTTATTATTAGATTTGGTAATAGTTATAGGGATCATACCGACAAATAGGAATAATGGCTTATTCTTGTTCTCCCTATTACGTCATAATGGTATGTTCCAGTCCCAGGTACCTCAGCAGTACATGTCACATCATGTCGGACGCGAAACCGAGCACAGAAGCCATCCCCAAGTGGCAGATCGCCCTCGCCGTGGGGGGAACCCTGGCGCTGGGCGCCGCGGGGGTCTGGTACTTCACCCGCAAGACGTCCAAGAACGACGAGAGGAAGGAGCCGGACGGCGGGCCCGCTCCAGAGGAGCAGGCGGACGAGCCCATCCCGGAGCCCGAGGTGGAGTTGGTAAGGAGGTCATCACTACTGTACTGATGAAGGTTCCTGTTTCAATGTGCCCTCCCCACGTGTTCTTTTTATTTAACTACAGTACTCTTCAGACAGAGGTTTCATAGTAGTCATAATGTCTTAGTAACAGGTACGAAAAATGTCATATAAATGATAAAAATAGAAAGTGATTGTATATGCATATTAAAGTCATAAAACATTGACAGGTGAATTACTCGTAGTGTGTTGCATACATATCATCATCAGTCATTCTATCACAGGATACGCCTTATACAGCATATACAGCAGCTGATATACAGTAAACCTTGTCTTTAGATGTACTATAGTATCAAGTCCATATGCCAAATACTGTAAATGCACATGTTATTTTGGGTCGCTTTTATGAGGGAAAAGGAGGTTTTCATGATTTTAATTTCACGGTTGAAAGAATCCTGATGTCACGAATTCGCATTACAGAGGTCATCCCAAAATGTGAAAATATTGGTTACTCTCATCTGCCAAATAAACATACGGGTACGTTTATTTTTTTGGGCCCAAACATCCACCCAGTACGTTCTTATTTTGCGCAGTACGTTTATTAATTTTTTGAAAACCAGTAATTTTTTTCAACTTCGTGTGAAAAAATTGACAAATCATCGACGTGAAGACGTTTATAAACGCATATTGTAGCGAGAAACTTGTCATTTTCGGGCCGGTTTTTGCAATCACCGCGTGCATAAATTCGTCTGAATGTTCTATTGTCATGGGTGGTGCTTATCAAAATACAAAATATTAAATGCCCGTTTTTTTTGTCTATTTAAATTCCTAATTGCAAATAACAGTTAAAGATTTGTGCATATATCAGTAAGGGTGCATTTTAGTACAAGAGACACAGGTTACCCGTCAATTTTGGTAATTTTCCGGGGGGTACGTTTATTCCGGGGGTATGTTTATTTGATTTTGAAGATTTGTCCGGGGGGGTACGTTTATTCCGGGGGGTATGTTTATTCGGCAGATGAGAGTAAGTCACTGCACATGTTTCTGTATTTACAGTACTACGTTGTAGAGTTCATATGATACATGCTGTACTGTACTGCATATTAAGTGCAGAGGTCACAGAAAAAATGCAAAAAAAAAAATATCACCACTTAAGTTTCTGCATATAACGTTACAATAGAGTAGTACAGTAGTAGAGCATATAATTAAGTTACAACTTACATGGGTAGATATGGTATCTTTTGTATCATGGCTGGCATTAAGTTTAAGATATGAAGAATAGTATTAACATGTACCAGGAAATATGGGACAATTTTGGTATACATGTTTGATGACTGTTCAGTTGTATGCACCAGTTTTAGCTAATCAATTAAAAATGATTTAAGGAATTATTTGTTGTGACAAGAAAGTAACAAAGCATAGCATTAGTATCCAGGTAAGAAAGTTGCAAATGAATAAAAAAACAGTTGGCCCCAAATCTAACCTTTTTGAGATGTTATTAAGACCTACCTATAATAGCTACATACCAAATATCAAGATGAAATCCATCTAATTCTAAGCATTCTCGTGTTGACATGCACGGACACTATCAAAAACATAACCTTAACAAAGGTAATGATTAACAGTACTGTATTTTTACTTCTCATTTTTTTCCACTACTGCAGAGCCCACTAGAGAAGGCACAAGGAGCTAAGAACAAGGGCAACAAGTACTTCAAGGGTGGCAAGTTTGAGGAGGCCATCAAATGTTACAGCGAGGCTCTGGAAGTCTGCCCTGACACCAACAAGAAAGAGATGTCCACGTTTTATCAGAACAGAGCCGCTGCATATGAACAGTTGGTAAGTATGATGTCAGGTTTATGCCAGGAAAAAGGTATATTTTACCACCATGTTGCAGTTACAACATGTACTTCAAAACATGTTGTTTCCATAAAACCCTAATGTTGCCTCAGCCCACATTGTTAGGCTAAGAGCCAAGATGACTTGCCACTCCTAAGAATATCTCATTCTTAAAATGCTAGCAAGTGGCTGATGTGCCTAGTACAGCATATGTTCTGGTCAATGCAGCACATTGGCAGAACATACTGCATCTGCATCAAACCCGTAATATATTGTGCATAGACAGCATATATAGCACTTTGGCATCATCTCGTTTAAGGTCAGATTTGCTGTTTAAAGATGACATTCTGTTTTCATTTCTCAAAATGTTGTGCTGGAAACGATACCCAATGCAACTGCAACTACAACTGGCAAAGTTCTGATGCAGCGTTGCACCAAACATCCAACGAAAACCCCCCCAAAAATCTGGGTTTCGCGCAGTGCATTCTGCCGACATGCTGGTCAGTGCTCACATCTAGAATGCTTCACACTGTTCCTTTTTGTTTTCAGAAATCCTTCAAGGAAGTTGTAGATGATTGTACCAAGGCGTTGGAACTGGACAACAAATACATCAAGGCTCTGTTCCGCAGGGCCAAGGCTTACGAGAGGATAGATGAGAAAAAGCAGTGTCTGGAAGGTAAGTTCTGACTCCACACAAAAATTTCTTTAATAGCATCCTTAGACTGTTGTGAAACATTTTCATACTAGATAATTCGGACAGTATAACATTTGCCATATATGTGTTCTTGGCACTTTACCAATGGTCATTGTCAAAAAGAACCCAGTCGGATCTTTCTTGAAATACAACAGGTATTGAGAATAGTCAGACACTCTTCTGATGTTAGGGAACATCAAATCATCCTTCCAAAGTTACTAGTAACTCAAATTTGATTTGATTATGTATGGAAAGGAAGGTGTGGTCTAAATCTGGTTAGACTGCTCCCGAACTTCAGCCAACTTAGGTTGTTGGTTGGTTGGGAGAAGGTTCTGAAAGTGTGACAGGCTTTTAAAGGGAGTTCTTCCAGCCATTTCATAGTTCACCTACATGTACATGTGTCCTGTAGACGTGACTGCAGTCTGCATCCTGGAGGGTTTCCAGAACCAGCAGAGCATGATGATGGCTGACCGGATCCTCAAGGACATGGGCTGGGAAAAGGCCAAGGAGAAGTACAAGGTGGGGAAAATAAGGATGTCGGCAGAATGTACTGCGCCTGCGCAAAACCTGTAATGTACAGGCACAGCACTTTGGCAGAATGTCTTGTTCAAGATCATATTATTGTCAATACGTTCTGACAATGCGCTTCTGTTTGTGCGCTTCTGTAGTTATTTCCATATGCTATAGGTACAAAGGACAGGAAGTATGGTCAAAGGTCCCAGAGAAGGTTATCTCACTTCCTGTCTTTAAGTTCCTGCATGTCTCTTGTGTAGTGGAACCAGTGGGAAATGAAATGTTTAATGTACTGTATGATATTTAATAATGTTGGCCACTGAAGCAGATGTTCAATTTCTTTTTTTTTATTCAATGACTGACAATTGAATGTGCTATTGGTTTCAGTGCTGGAATGTTTCTGGGTGTCGTGTATTGAAATTAGAGATACTGGTCAACTGTGTTTGTTGTTTGCAACAAAGGATGTTTCCATTTTCTTCAGATTATTCATTATTACTAATATTAGGTAGCTTATGCAAAGTGAATGTACTGAATGTTGCCCTTTTTTTCTACAGAACCGTGAGCCTGTCCTGCCATCCACCCACTTCATCAAGGCGTACTTCAGTTCCTTTACTGAAGACATCATCTCCCAGCCGCTGGAGAAGGTGGTTAATGATGAGGATAAGGACCAAGAGGGGGAGGCAGAGCAGGAGGCACCCCCCAGGTCAGTAACTTGATGTTGGGATGGGGCTGCACATTGGCAAAACGAACTGCCCCTGTACGGAATCTGGAATGCAACATGCTTAGCACTTCAACAGAGGGTATTGTTTAAGGTCGTGTTCATGTACAAGGATAACATTCCGTCTATAGTTTTCAAATGTGGTGTTGGAGAAGATAACAGCAAGTACCCATTTTACACCTGGGTGGAGTGAGGAAAGTTGCATAAAGTTCCTTTTCTAAGAATGCAACGTCTTGCCAGGAATGGAACATAAAACCTCTTGATTTGTGGCCTAGCCACTTGGCGATTTGAAACCATAAAAAAATTTGAACACATTTCTTAAATTGAGGAACTACAAGTAGTTAAGTAATGCAACCTTATTGACTTCTGAATATAATCAATGACTGAGACACCAAAAAGATGTTTAAATTTATTTGTATAGGCACCTTTGTTTTACATAGATATAAATGTTAAGGTTAACAACGTTTCACAATTTAAAATGCTATAGAGATATTAATATTCAGGTATAAGTTTCTATCATTTTGCTTGTTACTAGTGTAGAAGTATTTCTGCCATCTGTAGTGGGAGCATGATTACTAAGGATGCCCTTGTTTTTCAGTGATTACCTGAAGGCTAAAAGGTACTTCCATGAAGAGAACTACGACAAGATCATAGGAGAGTGCAGTAAGGAGATCGACAGCCAGGGGGAGCACCTGGCACATGCTCTGCTGATGAGAGCCACATTCCATATGTTGATGGGTCAAGCTCCCCTGGCCAGGCCAGACCTGGACACAGTCATCAACATGGACACAGCTGACAAGAAGGTGACTTAGAAAGTCTTGCAGTCTGTAGGCACTTTTAATTGCTGGGAAATTGATTCAGATCAAGAAATTTATGTCATAACATTCCAGATGAGTTTTCTGTCCCATGTGATTAGGGTTCTAAAATAACGCAATGAGACGACTGGGAACCTTGGACCGATCTTTGGATCCTTCGTTCTTTCAACGGACTATGCCATAGCCTTGCTCCTAATCCTACAGTCCTTTCCTGGTCTCATATGCTCGAATCGCTAAAACTGTGCTACAATAATATAAAAAGCTCACACAGCAATACGTCTGACAAAGGGATACATTTTATAATAGGATTTCACGTTAAAATGTTGCTGACGCGAGTCATAAACTGGCAAAAAAACATGCACTGTTCGTCTGGCCATATATTATGTTAATTGCCTGCAGTACCGCCTATGCTCGCCAGGGGACATAATGTACTAGTATGTGTGAGCGCAAGGATTAGGAACCTCCTTGGTGTGCGTAATATTTATTGTTAAAACCCTTAGCTGTGTACATGCCCTGTGTGCGGGTCCATGTACATGTACAGTATTCGGAATGGCGGTAATGGCAAAAACATAGTGGCTCTGTGAAGCGCGGCCAATCAGCCAAACCCGGAGGTCAGTCAAAGACGGTGGAAAAGGTCAGGGGTCAAACGGCATTACATCAACACAATTCCTTGCGGCTGTCGTGTGCCGAGCTTTAAATTTCTATTTGTTTTTAGTGTCTTTTTGGCGATAAAGTTCTGATTTTAGTCGCGAAATGTCCGGATTTACGCTACAAAATACGTGCTTGGGGACCTTGATAGTAATAATTTTAGGGAAATTTATCCTTCCCTCGGCGATCGAGGATTGATCATCATTATTGCCCCGATGGGAATTTGTACTTAGTACGTAGGAGTTTGAGAACTTGGTATCCGTCGCGGAGTCGACAGTGGTCCGCGATTTTGCAAACAAGGTAGACGTCGGGGGCGAGCAGTACATGTATGATGCACCTTATTTTTAGAGCTCCATAAAGAAAAATACAGTCCTTGTAATAAATTTAGCGTTTCAGCTGAACAGTCAGTTCAGCACCCAGGACAGTCTGTAGTCATAAAATTCACCAGTAGTACTTAATACGGTCTCGATTCCTTTTATTCAATAAAAGTATTATTTTTATGTTGCCAGAATTTGCCAGGAACTGTATATTCCAAGTGGAAGTGATTTTGTGTGTACTTGAGTGAATTGTATTGAAACCATTGCGGAAAATGTGTATTTTATTAAAATAAAATCTAAACTAAACTACCTACATGCCAATAATGATAACCCCTTCATACTAACACACAAAATGTATATGCGTATGTAGGGGAGCAAGATTTATATCAAAAGTCATATCATCACTTCAAAGAAAAAACACATTTGCTGCATACGATTTTGTTGTGCAAAAATACTACACCAGCAAACGCCAGCTTTTCAAAAGCACTTGTTTTATTAGGGACACCATGTTTTCTTAATCTCTGGCACATCTTCTATTGAAATGTGTGCTTCCAAGGAATAAAATACAACACAGTTTTGGCCATTGGGCAACCCAACCTGTATTCGAGCTGGTACCTTGTGTATTGTATTTATAGTATTGCAGAATTTAGGTTTGGATTTAGTCATTAGCTTTTTGTGTACGTACTTATCACTGAATAAGGTAAGGCAACCTATCAAGCAGTTTCTCTGTTTCTCCCTATATTTCTAGCTATGGTGTAATGCCATATTTTTCTCCTATATGTCTAGCTGCGGTGTAATGCCCTGATCAAGCGAGGCAGCATGTTGATGCAGAGACAGCAGTCAGAGGAGGCGCTGCAGGACTTCCAAACAGCAGTGGACCTGGACCAGGAGAACTCAGATGTCTACCATCATAGGGGCCAGGTGAATGGGCACTCATTATTATCTCCTTGTTATATTTGCGTGTTAAAGTTCACAGAAGGAAAATAAAATATTGTTTTTGCCCTATTCCCTCATCTTCTGTTCCAAACAAATGACTTGACTTGGACCAGACAGTTGTTACTATGGTAACATGTTGGATTACATCAATGTAGCAAAGAGGCAGGCCAGACCTCCTGGGGTTGGTCACCATATATGGTGTTGGAATACATTATGTAGCAAGCTGGCAGGACATTCTGGAGGGACTGGCCACCATGTTATATATGAATGTTTTCTTAGAGCTATTAAATTTTCAACCTCCTTGGTTTCAGTAAGAATAAGCAGAGCTTTTTTGAAAAATTCAAAACAGTTTGAAGATCTGCTTATATGTATGAGAATGCAAATTGACAAAGGGTAGAGTCACCTTCATCAGTTTGCTTGTATTTCCAGTTGAACTTGCTGTTAGACCGGGTCCCAGAAGCCCTGCGGGACTTTGAGAAGTGCTGTAGCCTGAAGCCAGACTTTGCCCTGGCCACGGTGCAGTACAACTACACCCAGTACCGGGCGGCCATGCTGCAGCGCTCGGCCATGCAGGTCCAGGACGCCATGAAGCAGTTTGAGGAGTCCATCTCCAAGTTCCCTGACTGTGCAGAGGGATATGTTCTATATGCTCAGGTGATAATACTTGCTGTAATGCCTGATTTTTTTTCACGGTACTTTCGTGTTCACTTTTTTCACTTATCATTACTGTGATCAAATTGTTTGTCTTTTGCCCCCTCTCCTGCCACCGTGAAGACTAAGTTCTGTGAACATGTCCATTTTCCTCAGATTGTGAAATTTTGCTTCCGTGAAGACAAAGGGAATTGCAGTACTTGACCTCAAAATGAAATATTTCTGTCAAATCTAAAATTTCACATGTCTGGAAAAAAAACAACTGACAATCAATCTTTTTATTTCTTAAATGTACTAGTATTAACCTAATATTCTAACTAAAAGGTTGCCATCATACAAACTACATGTACTTACAAAGTGGGTATAGCTCTCATGTATGCAGACAGATCTCCCTGCTGCCTAACATGGTACTAGTAACCAATACAAGTTTTATCTTAGCAGGCTGAAGCTTAAGATAGAAGGATATGTTAAATGTGGAATGTCAGATTATCAGAAAGAGTTTGTTTATATCAACGCTTTGTTTTTTTATCTATACAGGCTCTTGGTGACCAACAAATGTTTGACAAGGCAGACGACAACTATAAGAAGGCTATAAGTTTAGAACCACAGAATGCCACCACTTATGTACACAGAGGGTGAGTGTGTTTGTTTGTTTTGCATAACCGGTAAACCACGTTTAGGCATAACACATCAGTTTTAGTACAAGCTGCGTTAGACCGGACTGTAAGGTTTGAACCACTCACAATGGGAAGGACCCCTACTCTTTTCGATAAGTGCAGTGGAATCTTTAACTTACTCCAGATGTGGCTCTCCTATAAACACAGGACCTCTGACTTTATGTCCTATCCGAGAGGAAGTCCCTAACCAAATCTAGGTGCTCGTTTTCACCAGAGTCAGGAGAGGAAATACATGTAGGTTAATGTATTAAGTGCCTGCTCTGAGGACACAACAATGGGGCCTGCCAGGGATTCAAACCCAGAACCTTCAGATTCTGAGTCAACTTAACAACCCAAACCGTGTAATTGCCTGTGCACATGTGCGTTATATATAGCCAATCGCAATTGCAGCTACATGTAATTAGTTCATGTGGTATACACTGCTTTTGCATGAGTTTTAACAAAGTGTTACATCGTTTTTACACAAAATTCAATCGCAATTCAAATGCGATTTACACGACTTTTGCACAGGAAGTAAGCAAGTTAAAACCGTGTGTAAAACACATGGGAAGAGAAGTTAGTTGAGATCTGCACTACAATGTTGTTGGCCATGTTTTTCCAGGCTGCTCCACCTACAGTGGAAGCAGGACATAGATGCAGGGCTGTCCCTGATACAGAAGGCCCTGGATATTGATGACAGGTGTGATTTTGCATACGAAACTATGGGGACCATTGAAGTTCAAAGGTAAGTTTGTCTCTTGTTAGTGGATTGTGCAAGTATCTGGATGGTGTTCATTGGAAGTAAAGCCCATTGTTGTTGTTTACCCAACTCATGCCTATAGCACACAGGGAAGCAATGTTCCTTGCAATTTCTTTGTATAGGTCCTGTATAGTTTTTCATTTTTCCTGTTGTGTTGAAATCTGTATGAACTGAATGCTTGATCAATAAAATCACTACATCAGGTGCAATAAGCCACCAGTAGGTAAAGTGGTGTTGTGTAGTATAGAATCTGACTTGTCACAACTTGTGTCTTAGTCCCTGAAGCACGTCGGCAAAACACACTGCACCAGTGCAAAACCTGTAATGTAAACAAAGAATGTGCAGAATGTCGGAAAGATATTGTCTGCAAAGGCGAAATCCTGATGCAATGCCCCTCTCTCCAAACATTCAATGAAAACTGTGAAAAATCCAGGTTCATTATGTGTTCTACAGTCGTGCTAGTCCCTAGTTTCTGATCCTTGCAGACTTAAAACTGCTCCACACTGCCTTTTTTTATATAAGAACTTTATTGCATGACAATTATACATGGTACAATGTATGCCAAAGACAATTGAACATAGTCCAAAAAAAGAAAAGGGTATAGAATGAAAATTAACATCCTAATTACATACATGACATTGTACTACACATCAAGACCTAATACGGTATGCAATCAAGTAGGGCTAATTATGAGGTTTGGGAGTTTTTATAATAACAAAAGTCTTTTATTAAATTACCTATTCTACCTTGCATTGTAGTTGTTGCATTAGTTTTGAATTATGTAAATATTAAATCTGTCCATAGCACAAGTCAGTTGAAATCTTTTGTACTAGATTTGATAAATGTGAATACTACATGTAGTAGCTTATTACATAAAACATCATATCTAAGAGCATTTCATGATAAAGTGAAATTCATGTTCAATTTGCTTTGGACCTCCCAGGGGCAACTTGGAGAAGGCCATTGAGCTGTTCAACAAGGCCATCAGCATAGCCAAAACAGAGATGGAGATCGCACATCTGTACTCCCTGTGTGACGCAGCCGTGGCGCAGGCTGAGGTGGCCAAGAAGTACGGCCTGCGACCCCAGGCTATGATGTAACTTAAGCAATGTTCTGTGAGGGAAGAAAAAAGAAAAAAAGCACAGGCTGAGATATATAAGAAAAACTACTATATATTATGGTTGAACCTGGAATAAATTGTGTATTTGAGGGAACTATTACAAGTGAAATATTGACTTCTTCTCAGAGCTGATTGGAAGATGTAAGCTTCGTCAACATCAAAGGATATTTTGTTTGGAACATACCAGAAACAGGGCATTGATGCTTTTTCAGACAGTGAACAGGCACTGGATAATATAATTTTTACATATTATGTATCGTACTGAATTTGTTTTGTTTGAGTTTTCACTTGAGTTTATTGTTCTAGCCAGCATCCGTCTTTTTGCCATTTGATGGAATTTTGCTGCTCTTGACGGACAAAAATTTGCTCAATAAGGACAGAAAACGACAAATGTAAAGACCTTGTAAGAGATGTCATTAAAGTAAGCTTAGTCTACCAGCAAAATTTGCCCTGCAAAATATATTAATGTAGGAAATAGAATTTCAGATGGTCAAGATTTCAAAATTTTCTGTTTGGAGCATGCCCCCAGACCCCCTTAAAGATTGTCAACATGTTGTTATATCAAACAAAACTCAGAAAAAAACTCAGGCTGGCTAGAACACAGCTTGAGTTGTTCAGTTTATCATTTGGAACACTAAAATGCTCGTTGCCCTTGGTCAAGTGACAGAAAAAAACAAGTCAGCTGCTGCTGAGGATACAATGCAGTACCTCGTCATGTCACAAGGGGTCCTTCTTCTACCACAGTGCTGCTGTCTACATGTGTCTATTGTGCAACTGTGTAATGCCCGTCAAAACTGGGTCTACTAGTAAGAGCAAAGTGATCTGAAGGATATTTTATATACAAAGAGGAAATAATGGTTTGAACATTACAGCCCTGTTACGCATATCAGAATTCCTTGAGTTGCGCATGGACATGTCTTTTGTATGCAGTTGTACGCATATGTGCATCTCATTTGTTATGTATAATTTTTTATGTACGCAGGCATGCGAACATTATGGCCCAATACGCCTGCAAGATACAAGGCTTCAAAATTTGTCAATGTCTTGACTTATGTAAGATCATAACCAAGTCATGATCAAAGTAGTCGAAAAATGTCTGTATTTTTAAGCGTACGGCTGTGTACTTAAATGTTTGGGACCTTAGAAGTAGCCTGGAATCCATCTCCGCTCCGTTCCTCCGCTCTGCATTCACGTGAAAGCAGAGCGGAGGAACGGAGCGGAGATAAAGCGTTCATGGATGGATTCCAGGCTACCTTAGAAGGACTTGATGTGTGCAGAAGTGTGAGGGGCTTTTGTATGAGTATCACTCATTACAGGACTACTGATACTAGCATGTCAGCAGAACGTACTGCGCCTGTGTGAAACCTGTAATGTACAGATGTGCATAGCACTTCTACAGAGTGTAAATTATGTTAGGCAAAGGTCGTACATGTATTTGCATATTTAAGGATGATATCCCAACTGTTGTTTTCAAATGTTGTCATGGAAAAGATGTCATATGTAATTGACAAAATTCTGATGCAATGTTGACCAAACATCCGACGAAAGCCGTGAAAAATCTGGGTTCCGCACAGACGCAGTACGTTCTACCAAGGTGCTACTTGTGAAATCTTGAATAGGTAATCATGACTTGCGAACCTTTTTCTCGGATATACAAATATACATGTAGATTGATGATGAAAGTATGATTGATCAAGATCATTGTACTTTAAGGGATGGGAATTTTAAGCATGAAATGTCATTATTGCTTTTGTTTAGACTTTTTATACGAAAAGATAATCTAACATAACATGATCACGCTTGGTAGGCTTGGTACCCTAAAGTGAGACAACTATCAAGATTCCTGAAGAAGTTTTTGTTCTGCCCAAATATGCAGATACCGGTCACGAATAATAGATGCCCTGAAGCTGACAAATATTTAAATCTGGAGAACGGTCATTTCTGTCCTTTTGATCTGATGAACAGTGTTATCAGTCTGTCTCATGCATGTGAACTTCATATAAAGCAGGTTTTGAGAATAAAATATGAAATTAAAGTCTGCTTCTACAAGACATATTGTGTGGTGTGGTGTGGTGTATTGCATTGATGTACACTATATAAGTTGCTAGTTGGAAAATTGCGCTCACTTCTTTAGGCAACACTGACATGATTTTATAGATGATGTCAGCTGCACAATGATTTTCATCCGCTTCTGGAAAAAATTAAAGCCCCTATGTAACAGGGAAAATAGACTTAATCTGTTGTACTTAATCTGAAGATTGTCGGTTGTGCTCATAAATTTTAGCAATCGCGTCCACCAGCGCGCGCTCGTTTTTAACACAGCGCGCCAAACATCTTGGGTTTCCTTGATCTCGGCAAATCTGGGTGATGACGTCACGTGACGTCACAGTAGGAACGCCCACCCGCCGACGGGTCAGAGGAGAGGTCGCCCAAAATGGCGGAAGCCATGGAAGTTGGTGGAGAGCTCGAGTGGGGCGACGCGTACGGCGTTGGGGGCGTTCAACCTTACCAGTTTGAGCCCGAGGCGGCGGAGGGAGAAGACGGGGATCCAGAGGCACCAGATCGCGGGAATCAGGACCGCCGTTCAAACCGAAACTGTGTGTATACGCTGAGCTCGCTGAGCCGCCCGTTGCGTCCTTCAGTTCCAAATATAACGCAAGGTTATATAGTTGCTTTGTACGCGATGAAGGTACTGTGTCACACTGTTTTATGTGCTACTTGGTCTGCAAGGAACTAAAAGTTATGTCACTGATTAATTGTTCCGAATAATTCTGAGGGCTCAGCGTACGAGCAGTTCGGCGTTGTGACGTTTTATGGTTCGTGAAGGGGAGGGGGGCTCGGTGGTATTCTGTGATAAGGTCTCATACGCCAATTTCGCCGTCCCGTAGACTTACACGTTAAAATAGGCCACTATTTTGGCTGTCAATCCAATCAAAAAATCGTATATCAACAGATTTTTTGCTGTCTATACCAAGCACACGTATCATGTAACCGATCAAAATTTTTTCCCCAATTCTAACCGCTAGTTCGATATTTACGTCATGTATAACTGCAATTACCCATGACCCGGAAGAGGCCCTCTTTTGGCTCACTGTGCCCGACCGCAGTACTCAGGTCAAAATAAGCGTATACGTCCGACAATCGCTCGGACGCCGAAACTTCCCTGCCTGATCCTGTCAGTAATAAACAGGCTTTCACCTCAAATCCTTTTTAGATCAGGTCTGAGTGATGAAAGGGATTTTATGGTGGACCTAAACTCACGCTGTTCAGGCACAATCATTTTTTTGTCGGGACTCTTTTAGAGACTACACGTGCGGAGTAATTCCGGTATGAGACCTTAATAACTATTGATTATTAAGATTGTATCTTAAATTAAAGAATATGCATCCCCTAACAATTCTCTAGAAAAAGTATTTTGTCTCACGTCACTCCGTTACCAAGCAACGGGTCAATAAAGTTGCGTCAAAATTTTCATCTGAGCAGCGCCACCTGGCAGGTTGAAGTAAAAGTACAACAGATATCTTTAATTGCCCTTATGACGTGTCGGAAACGGTAATTAATTGTTTTTTTCGTACCGTTGGGTACATTAATGTGTTCTGTATGAGATTGTTTGCATGTAAACCTGAATAGACAGCAAGAGATAGATTTGAACGATGCTGACCATTTCGTGTATGCTGACAAATGAGGCGCAGCATCAGTAAGGACATTCAGGTGCATGTCGCATCAGGACACGCCCATAAAAGCAAAGACATCGACACTACACAAACAACAGTAAAGCCAAACATATACACTTGCTAAAATTTGAACCCAAGGTAAGAAGAAATAAGCGACTTGCTGCTGATAGTGCATCTAGCGCACTCTAAAGGTCAGCCTAGGCGGGAATGGGGAGTGGTTTACAGTGGTGACGCAAGATTCTGCCTACAAAAATGCGAGGCAACTTCGGTCAAAAGTACCCTTATCTACTAGTTGAGAAGAATAAAGGCAAAAGAGGCCAAATTCACCATAAACTATCACTCAGAAAGGAAAGGGAATTCCAGACAGCGTTCTTAGCACCGAGCAAAACAAAAACTTTTCCAATGAAAGTTACAGTAATGCTTTGGCATAATATATTCCTTCTCACCTAAGTAGAAATCCACTAAATGTATTCTGATTTTGCAGTCTGGAAGTCTGGGGGATACGAATTCACGTCAGCTGTAGCGTGTCGGGTGTTTTTCGTTTAGTTTGGGGGGGGGCGGGTAAGGACGCACCGCCCTGACAGTGGAGGGGGAGGGGGAGCGCGGCTGCTCAGACACAATGCGTGCGTGTGTTTCGGGGGGGGGGGTAACAATGGCACAAATTTCGGCCAGGATAGCCAGGATAATCAAGCGACGTAATGGGTATTATTTTGGGATACAATCAGGTAACCCTACTTTTCTGGCATGCGATTTTAGGTGGGTGCAGAGTCAGGCTGCGGGCAAGGTGGTTTAAACAATTCATAGCGCATCGGATTGCCTTGTATTTGACGCTTTTCCTGAAAGTAGAGCGCACATATATTTAGTATTTGAATCTTTTCCTGTTCTGTGGTTCTTTAACTCTAGCCACAACTTCATATAAACGTCTTATTTCCGTAATCGACGCTTCTAAGGTTTACATGTATTGTCCGTGTAATTTGGGTTTACACGATTTCTATATAATTTGCAAGCGTGTGCTTGTCAGTACTTGCTTTCTAGACGTCTTACACAACACTGATAGTCAGGGAATTGTCTTTAGTGTATGTATCATTGACTATGTCAGCTTTTCAAAACGTTATTTGACTGTTAATCTTTGTAAAACGGAGTATGGTGAAAGGACGGCGTCAATCAACCCCCGCAGAAATGGCCTCGTCCGTTGCCATGGCAACGGGCGTGGTTACGAAATGCAACTTACGCTGAAAAATCGGACATTAAATCCTGGGCAAACATTCTTCAAAAATTGGGACCTTAGCACTAATCGTTGATTTTTGGTGAATATTTTTAATTTCTATTAAGGTCTCATACGCCAATTTCGCCGTCCCGTAGACTTACACGTTAAAATAGGCCATTATTTTGGCTGTCAATCCAATCAAAAAATCGTATATCAACAGATTTTTTTGCTGTCTATACCAAGCACACGTATCATGTAACCGATCAAAATTTTTTTCCCCAATTCTAACCGCTAGTTCGATATTTACGTCATGTATAACTGCAATTACCCATGACCCGGAAGAGGCCCTCTTTTGGCTCACTGTGCCCGACCGCAGTACTCAGGTCAAAATAAGCGTATACGTCCGACAATCGCTCGGACGCCGAAACTTCCCTGCCTGATCCTGTCAGTAATAAACAGGCTTTCACCTCAAATCCTTTTTAGATCAGGTCTGAGTGATGAAAGGGATTTTATGGTGGACCTAAACTCACGCTGTTCAGGCACAATCATTTTTTTGTCGGGACTCTTTTAGACCCTACACGTGCGGAGTAATTCCGGTATGAGACCTTAATAACTATTGATTATTAAGATTGTATCTTAAATTAAAGAATATGCATCCCCTAACAATCTCTGAAAAAGATTTTGTCTCACGTCACTCCGTTACCAAGCAACGGGTCAATAAAGTTGCGTCAAAATTTTCATCTGAGCAGCGCCACCTGGCAGGTTGAAGTANTTATTTCCGTAATCGACGCTTCTAAGGTTTACATGTGTTGTCCGTGAATTTGGGTTTACACGATTTCTATATAAGTTGCAAGCGTGTGCTTGTCAGTCCTTGCTTTATAGACGTCTTACACAACACTGATAGTCAGGGAATTGTCTTTAGTGTATGTATCATTGACTATGTCAGCTTTTCAAAACGTTATTTGACTGTAAATCTTTGTAAAACGGAGTATGGTGAAAGGACGGCGTCAATCAACCCCCGCAGAAATGGCCTCGTCCGTTGCCATGGCAACGGGCGTGGTTACGAAATGCAACTTACGCTGAAAAATCGGACATTAAATCCTGGGCAAACATTGTTAAAAAATTGGGACCTTAGCACTAATCGTTGATTTTTGGTGAATATTTTTAATTTCTATTAATAACTATTGATTATTAAGATTGTATCTTAAATTAAAGAATATGCATCCCCTAACAATCTCTGAAA